CAAAAGATATGTGGAGTAGTCCTATTAGACTTTTCAGCCGCGTTTGATGTGATTGATCATACACTGCTTTTTGAAAACCTTCTGCTGTATGGTTTTAAAACATCAGCTCTAACATTGATGAAGAATTATTTATCAGATAGGTCACAGAGTGTATATATAAATGGTAGTTTTTCAAAGAGGGTGTCAGTAAACTGTGGAATTCCACAGGGCAGTTGCCTTGGGCCACTTTTATATGCCATCTTAACAATTGATCTACCATTAGTATTAAAATATGCTAAATTAACAATGTATGCAGATGACACAACTGTCTATGCATCTGCAAAATCAATATCTGAATTAACTTAAATTTTAAATAAGGACTTAAAAATTGTAGAGCAATGGGTTTTAGATAATAAATTAGTTTTGAACATCTCAAAGACAAAAACTTTAGCACTTGGTTCAAACAAGTCTCTTAAACATGACCCAAAGTTAAATTTGTTAATAAATTTCACACTCATTGAGCAAGTAACAGAAGCTATGCTTTTTGGTGTCTATTTGAATAATAAACTGTCTTGGTCAAGACACACTGAAGCTGTTGTCAGGATTCCTGTCTGTGTGTTTGTGTTTCTGTGTTTGTCTCCCTTCCTCCACCAGGAGGCGCCTGGTTCTGGTCCGCCTCCTCACACACCTGCAGAAGATTACCTTGTTAACGGAGTGTTCTTAAGCTGCTGACTGCCACTACCTCGACGCCAGAGTGTTTGCCAGTTTTGGGTAGTCTAGCCAAGCTGAGTTTTGCTGAGTCAAACTGAGTTCTTGTCAACCTGAGTTTTAATCTTGTTTTTGTCTTTGCCTCTCAGCAGGAAGTCATCCTGCAAACTGGATTTTTTTTTTGGACCTTCTCTCCCTGGAAGGATCATCTGAGCTTCAAACTGAGCTAAGGATTTAAACGGGAGGTTTGAATCAACTTTTCCCCAAGAGATTGTTGGAACTTCACACTGAGCAAGGGATTCATATTCACTACGACCCGTTCAAGTACCGCAGGAAATCTGAGTGGCAGACAGCTTCTCCGTTCACCTCCAAACAACCGCATTCTGGGTAAACCCTGTTCTGCCCTCCACCGAATCAGACAAACACTGGAACAACACTATTGTTCCAGTGTTGTTCGCTGTTATTCTCAACATGGAAAATCTTAAAACTCCAGAGTCCACTGTTTCTGTTTGTTCAATTTGAAAATAATTTGGACTCTCATGGTTATGCCACGAGACATGCAGCTGAAGGATGATTTGTAATTTCTAGGGCGAAAACTAATTTTCTGAAATGCACCTCTACTTCCAGAGCAACGAAAGAATGGAACTCATTGCCATTAATTCTCATAAACATTGTATATAAGTCAGCTTTTAGAATGCAACTTCAAGGAGAATTCCGGTTTTTAACACTTTTAGCCCATTTTCTGTAGTGTCCAGGATGAAATCGAATGATCGACACCAAAATTTTGACAATTGGTCCTGTCTCTGCTTTTTGGCTCATGCAGAATCCCCCCCTGGCTGCTTCAGAATGGCTTCCATTGTGCATGTCCGATAATGTCCTTAAAACAACCTTAAACGTTCTTTTTTTTAAATATGCTAATCACCGGGTCGTCAGCGCTGTTCAATGACGTTCCAAAAAAAGTTTCGTAAAGAAAAAACGTTCCTGTAGTGTTTTATTTAGCATTTTGTAAATCCCATTGAGTTCTGTTGGAATAGTCAATATCCCTCCGCCACCGGAAACGGAAATGGGGCCTGTTTACGATTAGTTGTAGTCTTTTCGCTTCACTCTGTGTACTCCGACGTCGAGGTGCTAACGTCTCTGTTAAACACTTTAAAAAACTCTGAAAATGGAATACGAAAGGTGGATTCTTGAGGAGGACATATTGGACTTTGAGTTTGACGGTAGAGGATACCGTTTTGAACCGGAATATACTGAGGAGGAGTATATGGAGACATTGTCGCCAACTAGTGGTCTGGAGTGTGCAACACTTCAGATTCAAACGGGAAGCGGAAGTTTATAAGCGGTTGTGATGTATCGGAAAAAATAGTTGTGGGATTTACAAAATGCTAAATAAAACAAGACAGGAACGGTTTTTCTTCACAAAACTTTTTTTGGAACGTCATTGAACAGCGCTGACGACCCGGTGAGTAGCATATTTTAAAAAAAGAACGTTTAAGGTTGTTTTAAGAACATTATCGGACATGCTCTATGGAAGCCATTCTGAAGCAGCCAGGGGGGGATTCTGCATGAGCCAAAAAGCAGAGACAGGACCAATTGTCAAAATTTTGGTGTCGATCATTCGATTTCACCCTGGACACTACAGAAAATGGGCTAAAAGTGTTAAAAAACGGAATTCTCCTTTAAAAAGTTTTTTGGGGGAAAGTGTCTATAAATGAAATAGTTTCATATTCTAATTTGTTGTAACTTATTTATAAAATGATAAAATTTTAAATTGTAACTTTCCCCTTTTCTATGAATGTTCAGTCTTATTGATATATATATATATATATATATATATATATATATATATATATATATATATATATGATATATATGTCATCTGTCAAACATGTTCATCAATTTACACTGTATACTGTATTTTAATTATGTGGACCCCAGGAAGTTTAGCTAAGTGTAAAGCACAGCTAATGGGGATCCTAATAATAAATAAACAAACAAAAAAAAAAATTCCCAAACCAGAAAAAGATAAAAGATGTATTGAAAATCTTCAACCAATTACTCTATTAAACACTGACTAAGATATTCACACATGTAACTGCAGACGGGTTAAAAGGAGATTCATTTAAGATCATAAGTGACACACAGTCTGGTTTTCTTAAAGACAGATCTATTCACAATAACCTAAGACTGGTATTAGATCTACTAGAATAGAAGCAACTGCTGGAGGATGATGGAGTCATTTTCTTCTTGGATTTTTATAAAGCTTTTGACATGGTTGAACAGTCCTTTATTCTAAAAGCCCTGGATTATTTTGGCTTTGGGAAAAGTAGAAACATCATTCAGCTGCTATATACGGACATTAATAGCTCAGTGTCTCTGGAATGACCAAACTCTTCAATATAAAAAGAGGCATCCGTCAAGGTTGTCCTGCGTCCCCTTTACTATTTATTAGTGTGGCAGAACTTTTAGCAATTTTTATTAAAAAAAAATATCTAAATATTGAACCGCTGAAAGTGATGGGAAGCTCCTTGGTAATTACTCAACTAGCAGATGATACAACAATTTTCCTTTTCCTTTTAAGATATTTAAAAAAAAAATTATTTTTCATTTTTTATTTTTATTTATTTTACGGTAGCTGATATGGAAGTCCCAAAATCTTGTTGTATCCGTTGCAGAATATAATGAAAATAAAGGCTTTTTGACTTTTTTTTTACTTGTTTTTAAAAAATACTAGTCAAAGTTCAAAGGTGCTGACAGAAATACCAAAGTTTTCTAAAGCATCTGGTCTACATTTAAATATGAAGAAAGGTGAAATAATGACTCTTCATGATCACTCTTTAAACACTGTTTGTAATATCCCAATTTAAAAAAGGTAAAAATATTTAGGTATCAACATATTAAAGGATTTAAAAAAATGAAGAGAAGCATCACATATAGAAACAAAAATTGAGAAAGGTAAAGTCATTCTCAACTGTTGGCTCCAGAGAGATTGATATATTTTTGGACATATTTTATTGACAAAAATGGGAAGTTTATCTGGGCTTATTTGCCTAGCTTGCTCATTGTATGTATCTGATAAAATGATTAAAAAAATAAATTAATACAACTTTAATTTAATTTAATGTTGTTAAGTCTTTAGAAGAAGGAGGTTTGAACATAATCGATTTTGACCCAATGAATGGTACCATCAGACTAAAATGGCTCTAGGGCCTCATAAAAAAATAGGAAAGTTTCTGGCATAATTTTCCCTACAATATTTAAAGGCTTTTGGTGGAGTCAAATTCCTGATGATGTGACTTTTAAATCTCTAAGTTACCAATAAAACAGGTTCTGCAATATTGGAAACTTATTTTAAAACATAATTTTTCACCTAATTCTGTCCCGATTTGGAACAACAGATGTATCCTTGGTGAACAAAAATCATTATTTTACAAAGATTGGATGGACAAAGATATCTGGTCTAATCTACACCTCATGGAAGCTGATGGAAACTTTTTATCATATGATGCTTTTATCAAAAAAAAAAAAAATACAAAATAACATTTACAGAAACTAAATTTAATAAAGTTGTGAAGGAAATTCCCCATGCTATGGTGCTACTAATTAAAGGTAGGCTACAATAACATATTCAACAATTGCTCTAAAAGAATCATCTTTAACTATAAACGGTTTTGATTTTTTGACAAAAAATGTACCAATAGCTTTATAAGAAACACCTTGACATCCATATTTTTTCCATCAACCTTGAGAAGAAAACATTTGTTTAAAAAGTATGACGATGCCTCTTTAAAGAAAATAAGAACCAGGTATCTTTCATTTCCACAGAAAGTAAAGGAAATCCATTTCAAAATGATGTACGACATTTACCCCTGTAATGATGCTTTACATAGAAAATTTAACATAATTACCAACTATTGTGTATTTTGTGATTCAGATATTGAAACAGCAGAACATCTATTTTTTCAGTGTAATATCATAAATATTTTACTAACCCATTGTAAAAACCCTGAATCCCAATCAATGATGCAATATATTGAGAATTTACTTTTAAATTCAAGAGTCCGTGTTTTTTTTTATTTTTTTTATTTAATTAATTTGTTCTACCATCTGATATTTTTGTTTGTATATAGGTTCTCTGTATGATTCTATTTGTTATATTATACATACTCTGCTCAGCTTCTTAAGATATTAAATTTACAATTTTGTATAATTGTTTTGATATGCTTTGTAATACTTTGATTCTTCAATAATAAAAAAAATAAGTTTCGTTAAAATTTGACTTCCTGGTTTACGTCTTTACGCAATGACGTAGGCGCGTCAGACGCAGCCGCATTGTTGTGGGGGAAGAGAAGTCCTGCTGCCGCTGAGCGGCGTTACTTCTAAACTGGTCTCTCGTTGTTCCATCGGTCCGGATTTGACCCGAACGCGCCCAGAAGCTTAGAGCCGGTTCCGGTCGCCCTGGACCCCCGCCGGCCGCCTCCTGTGGGTTCAGCTGGGGCCGCGGTCCCCCTCTGATGGCCTGACGGTGGATAGACCTGCTGCTGTGTTCTGCAGGCCGCGCCGCCATTGCTTCTGCTTCTTTAAACGGAATTAGTAGAAATCTCAGAGGTAAAGTTTCCTCCTTTCTTCCTCCTCATCGTCAGTACTCCTGTTGTGTGCCGCAGCGGAATAAAATACTCTGAATTCAGCTGAAAATAAAGCAACGGTTCCTGCTGCGCTTGTCTACGGCTGGTCGCCATGTTTCTTCTCCCTGCTGCTAAGCTGTTAGCTGTTTCCTGGACGGAGTGTCCTGATGTTTGCACCCGGCCTGCAGAGGCCACCGACGGGTTATCTGTGAGCCAGTGCTGGGGGGCCATGGGGCCGATCCTTTCTACGTGATGCCTTCAAGGTTGGATTCATTCAGGAAATGAAGAAAAGCAGTTTTTTAGCTTCTGTTTTCCCGCAGCGGCTCCTTTCAGGGCTCCAGGCCGGTGGAGAGTGTCTCCGGGTCGGACTGGCTGCTCCGGCCGCTCTTCCTCTCCGTTCTCTGTTTTCAGTGAAATGTGTGAAGAATCACTTGGCGGTGCGTTCATGATCTGATGTTTATAACAGTTTATAACAGAACAGCTGCAGGAAAACTAAAGGGTCAGAGGTCAATTAAATCAGTTTCTCATCTAGTTTACTGGTCATACACCTCTTTGAGTGTGTGTCTGCGGTTCTAAGTCTGTGGATCTGCGCTTCTGCATCTGTGGATCTGCACTTCTGCGTCTGTGTGTCTGCAGTTCTACGTCTGTGGATCTGCACTTCTGCATCTGTGGATCTGCACTTCTGCGTCTGTGGATCTGCACTTCTGCGTCTGTGGATCTGCACTTCTGTGTCTGTGTGTCTGCAGTTCTACGTTTGTGGATCTCCACTTCTGCGTCTGTGGATCTGCACTTCTGTGTCTGTGTGTCTGCAGTTCTACGTCTGTGGATCTCCACTTCTACGTCTGTGTGTCTGCAGTTCTGCGTCTGTGTGTCTGCAGTTCTACGTCTGTGGATCTCCACTTCTACGTCTGTGGATCTGCACTTCTGCGTCTGTGGATCTGCACTTCTGCGTCTGTGGATCTGCGGTTCTACGTCTGTGGAGCTGCGGTTCTACGTTTATGAATCTGCGGTTCTACATCTATAGATCTGCACTTCTGCGTCTGTGTGTCTGCAGTTCTACGTCTGTGCATCTACACTTCTGCGTCTCTGGATTTGCGGTTCTACGTCTGTGTAGCTGCGGTTCTACATCTGTTGGTCTGCGGTTCTCTGTTTATGGATCTGCGGTTCTACATCTGTGGAGCTGCGGTGCTACGTTTGTGGATCTGCGGTTCTACGTCTGTGGATCTGCGGTTCTGCGTATGTGGATATGTGGTTCTGCGGGTGTGGATATGTGGTTCTGCGTCTCCGGTTATGCCTCTGCGGATATGTGGTTCTGCGTTTGCGGATATGTGGTTCTGCGTCTGCGGATATGTGGTTCTGCGTCTGTGGATATGTGGTTCTGCGTCTGTGGATCTGTGGTTCTGCGTCTGTGGATCTGCGGTTGTGGATCTGTGGTTCTGCGTCTGTGGATCTACGGTTCTGCGTCCTGGGATATGTGGTTATTTGGTTCTGCGTCTGAGGATCTGTGGTTCTGCGTCTGAGGATCTGTGGTTCTGCGTCTGAGGATCTGTGGTTCTGCGTCTGTGGATCTGTGGTTCTGCGTCTGTGGATCTGCGGTTCTGCATCTGGATCTGTGGTTCTGCGGCTGCAGTTCTGCATCTAGGGATATGTGGTTATGCAGTACTGCGTCTGTGGATATGTGGTTCTGCGTCTGCAGTTCTATGTCTGTGGAACTGTGGTTCTTTCTGTGGTTCTATGTCTGTGGATCTGCGGTTCTGCGTATGTGGATATGTGGTTCTGCGGGTGTGGATATGTGGTTCTGCGTCTCCGGTTCTGCCTCTGCGGATATGTGGTTCTGCGTCTGCGGATATGTGGTTCTGCGTCTGTGGATCTGTGGTTCTGCGTCTGTGGATCTGCGGTTGTGGATCTGTGGTTCTGCGTCTGTGGATCTACGGTTCTGCGTCTTGGGATATGTGGTTATTTGGTTGTGCGTCTGAGGATCTGTGGTTGTGCGTCTGAGGATCTGTGGTTGTGCGTCTGAGGATCTGTGGTTCTGCGTCTGAGGATCTGTGGTTCTGCGTCTGGATCTGTGGTTCTGCGGCTGCAGTTCTGCATCTAGGGATATGTGGTTATGCAGTACTGCGTCTGTGGATATGTGGTTCTGCGTCTGCAGTTCTATGTCTGTGGAACTGTGGTTCTACGTCTGTGGTTCTGCGTCTGCGATTCTACATCTGTGGATATGTGGTTTTGCGTCTGTGGCTATGTGGTTTTGCGTGTGTGGATATGTGGTTTTGCGTGTGTGGATATGTGGTTCTGCATTTGTGGATATGTGGTTCTATGTCTGTGGTTCTGCGTCTGCGATTCTACATCTGTGGATATGTGGTTTTGCGTCTGTGGCTATGTGGTTTTGCGTGTGTGGATATGTGGTTCTGCATTTGTGGATATGTGGTTCTGGTTCGTGGTTCTGCGGTTCTGCGTCCATGGATATGTGGTTCTGTGGATCTTTGGTCCTACGTCTGTGGATCTGTGTTTCTGTGTCTGATGTTCACCGTCTGTGGTTCTGCATCTCTGGATCTGCGGTTCTGCATCTGCTTATCCACGGTTCTGCGTTTGTGGTTCTGTGTCTGATGTTCGGCGTCTGCGGTTCTGCATCTCTGGATCTGCTGTTCTGCGTTTGTGGACCTGTGTCTGTTGTTCTGGGGTTTGAAACATTTAGAATTAAATGAGATGTTTTTAGTGTGTTTTCATAAAGTTTAGTTGTCATCGTTTTATTTAATTAAAATCTGAATTAGCATTTATTGTTTACATTAGAAAAGTCAAATGATGGGATATAAGGACTGTAGCTGGTCTGTTACAAAAGTCGCGTGTGTTTCAGAAGTTAGTCTCTTGATGCTGCTTCATGTTTTTTTTTTTTTTTTTTTTGGAAAATCCCAGCATGCTTCAAAATGAAATAATAAAGAGAGAAAAAGCTGAAGACAAAGCTTGTCTCATTATCTGCATATTAATTTTATTCTATGATCTTTTTGCTGCTGTAACATATACGCAAATAAAGGGATTTTTTATGCTATTGTGTTCTAATCAGGTATACGGGGTTCCATTAGTGCAAAAACATGTTTATGTTTCTCTATTTACCAATCATGTCATGTCCATGTTAGCTATGTAAATGGTGGATTCATCTGTTAAAGGTATATAGGAGGATATTGTATTTCCGGGTGGATCATCTCAATCAGTGGTCCTTCTAACTGTCAATCATTCGAGTGATATGTTTACGTAAGGCGGTCCTACGTTCTCGTCCCGTTAGCTATCTGCTTCTGTGCACTTTCAGGCATATATCTGCGGTGAGCTACGGTTTCAGACCGTCATTGAAGCTCAGCTTTCTCTATAACTAGCTCAGTGTCCATGTACACCTCAAGTGACATTCTAAGCACAGATTTTAGCATTTCCTCAAACACTGTGGCCCCAGAGACGGGCCCCAAAGAGGGTCTGCCTGAGTGAGTGGTTGAAACACTTCATCTTGACCAATTAGGCCTACAGTTCAGAATTCCTTTTTATCTGAATAAAAGCTTATTAAAAACACAAATATATCTGATTGAATACTATTTATTTTCATCACCAGTTATAGTAGAAAAGCCTCTCAAGCAGTTTGTGATGCATGTATTTTATTTAAAAAAATAAATTAATTCATGTTAGAACTGTAAATATAAAGTCACGTGTTTATATTACTATATATTTTTGTATGTATTTATTACTGTTTCCAAGGCTGTACTTTAAATAATTAAATTGTCTAGAGCTGTTTGAAACCAAATGTTCAAAGACTTACTGTTAATATTTAGGTAGCACACAAATATCCTAATTATCTTTACTTAAAATCTTATTTTTCTCTATTTTGTAAATTTTTTTTCAGGAACAAAAAAAAGGAAAGAAAACCTGATAAACAAAATGTATCTGCTTTCAAGAAACTATTTTATATTGAAGTATTAAGAGTTTCGTTGATATTAATATTGTATTGAAAGATTTCGCAATTAAAGTATAAACATGTACTGTGCCCTTTAAACGGGTAACAAATGTACTTTATAATACGAAATCCAGCTTCCTGTCAGAGGCAGTGATGTTGTTCAGGTGAAGCCTAGTTAGCTTCTGAGTGGACATTAGAAGGACGGCAAGCTGCTAAGTTCATTTTGCACATTAATATTTTTCGAAACTAATTTTGTGATCCCTTAAAATCATCTTGCGACCCCTATCATGTTCTGGACTAACTGGTTTCTTTCTCTGGAATATTTAATTCCACTTTTAAATGGGCTGTAGCCAGTTGGATAGCTGCTGTAGGTCCAATAATGTTTCCATTAAAAACAAGCATATAATCCGGTTTAAATCTGTTGGACCTTTGCTTGTGTGAAGCCAGTTCTGTGATTTCGTTCCTGATCCTCGAATCAAGCAGGAGTTGGTCTGGATTTTCCTGATAAAAGTGTTATTAATTAGATTATTTGATCTGTTTCTGAATATGTAGACCTTTAGATTTTGGGTCAGATTTTGGGTTTGTCGTAAAGATGGAGAAGTAAAATAAATGTGATCGTCCACACGAATGCATGAAAACGCAGCAAAATGTATGCCAGGCCTATAAGTGGCGCTGTGGTGCCAAAGCAAAAATAGGCGATGAAATGTTTGGCATGCGCACTAATATTTATACATGGTTGCCCTGCGGGTCCATTTTCGTGGTTAAGTCAAATTCAGGTGCTGAACTATGTCGTCGATATTGCTCTGTTCTTCCTGGAGATATTCCAGAAGAAGAAGATTCTGTTGTAAGCCCGACAGCAGGGTGAGTAGCATGAGCAGCAACCATTCAACACAGTACGGCGCCATTGTTGTTGTGATACTGTGTCGCGCATTTAGAGGCGACGCTATGACGCATGCGTGTAAAAAAAAATATGCGGTTATAGCTTAAAGATGGAAACGCGAAAACGGCGTTTCAAAATCTTCCCACTCTGAAGGCTGAATAAAAACAAGATCGTTTACAGACCCCCGAAACGCCGGCTTCGTATGGATGAGTGGCTGGTTTGGTGAAAAATTTGTGCGTTTAGGCCAGGGTTTGACTTCGTGTGGACGGGGCCTTAATCCAGGAATGGAAGTACCGCTCTGTTTTGTTCCAGTAAATGTATTTAAAGCAGCAGCTGTAGCAACATGTCGTTAATTGTGTTCCTGTAGCAGGCCAGATAACTCTGTGCTCTAAGTTTGAACGACAGGAAACCCCATTTTTACTGAACACTGATGCGTCCAGTAGCCCAACTTTTCTCGAGACGATGTAGAAACATCACAAAGCATTTTAAAAGTGTGTGTGTCATGTGACGGAGGTCAAAAGGTAAAGTGGTGTCCTGATTAGGGGTGTGGGAAATAATCGTTTTGGCGATATATCGTGTTTTTTGGCTGCCCAATATAATATCGATCTTTCACTTCTTAGTATCGATTAAAAAAATGGTTACATAAAACATTGATGGGAAAATGGGCTGCCTCTGCACCACCACTCTGGCAGAAAGCGCTGTGGAGCCCTTTAACTGTGCGTGCAGCACCAAATCTGTATTTGAGGCAGTCACAGTGGAAGAAAACCCCAAACCACATGGATAATAATACCTAATCAATATTTTCTGATGAAAATATACAACACTTGCTGTTTTATCTCATCATTTGATTTTGATAGCTGGGGAATATATGGCAATATATAGTGATACTGCAACATTGTGATAATATCGTATCGTGACCCAAGTATCGCGACATGTATCGAATCGCAACACTCATGCCATGATCACCTCTAGTCCTGATCTATCTCTATAGTTATGCTGCTATAGGCTTAGACTGCTGGAGGACATAGAAACCCCTTTTTCATCATTCTGCTTCATTCTATCTCTATTCTCCCACTCTGCAGAATCTGTTAGTTCAATCTCTAACGTTCTGCTCTCTCTGCTTTTTCTCATAGTAGCTTCATCTGGTCTGTTCCTGTTTGGCTGTGACTCCATCCTGGAGAGAAATATCAGCTGTGCTGCTGCAATCAACACCTTTGTTTCTAGATTTAGGAGCTTGGCCTGTTTTTCAGTGTAGTCCTGTTTCTCTGACTGTGACTAACTGGATGTGCTCTCTTCATCCTCTGACATGGGAGCTGGCTCGGAGCTCGTCTGCCTGGCTGTGTGTTTCCTAGACGGGGCCGCCTGTGGAGCTGGTTGACAGTTGCCTTTTGTATCTATGCTTCTTTTTCTATGTCTGCTTCTGTCTCCTTGAACCCCAGTCGGCCTCAGCAGTTGGCCGCTCACACTGAGCCTGGATCTGCTGGAGGTTTCTTCCTGTTCAAAGGGAGTTTTTCCTCTCCACTGTCACTACAAGCATGCTTAGTGTGAGGGATTGCTGAAGAGTCAATGAGTCGATGCAATCAGCTGGTTTTCCTTAGATAGAAACTTTGAATCAATCTGACTGGATGATCTGGTGAACTGGAAAGTGACCTGAGATGACATGATGTGAATTAGAGCTATAGAAATAAACTGAATAGAACTGAAATTGAATTGGTGTGAGGCCTTTTAGCAAGGAAACACTTTTCCACATCAGGAGCTTCACTAACATTTGGAAAAGAGTCTGACTTTGTGAACTCCTACCTCTATTTTGTTATTAAGGTTGGATTGTAGGCAGGGGATCGTTGCGTCATGCCTCCCACCCTCATTTCCTTTGTAGTTGCTTCACCAGGCTGACAAACGCTACTGAGTCACTGACAGTTGTTTCCTGTTTTCTGTCTCCAGGATTCAAAGAAGTCCATCATGAAGAAGAAGAATAAAAACCGCCGTCCTCCCTCCCTAAAGAGGGAATCCTCTCCCATCAAGCCCTCGCCCAACAGGGAGACTCTCACATATGCGCAGGCCCAGCGGATGGTGGAGCTGGAGGTGGACGGCCGGGTGCACCGGCTCAGCATCTACGACAAGCTGGACGTCATCTCTGATGACGACCCCACAGCTCAGGAGATCCTGGAATGCAACAGCAACAAGGAAAACAACGAGAAGCCCCAGCAGGTCCTGGTCCGCTCAGTGCGCCTCAAAATGAACCAGCAGAAGAAGAGCGCCGCCCTAATCACCTCACATGGCAGCGTCACTGGCGGCCTCCCCGAGCCAAAGGTCAGGATTGTGGAGTACAACCTGCCGGTGGTGCCCAAGAGGCCAGCTGCTTATTACAAATACTCTGAGAAGACAGTGGAGGAGCTTGACGAAGAGGTGGAGTACGACATGGACGAGGAAGACTACGCCTGGCTCGACATCATCAACGACAAGAGAAAGAGTGAAGGGATTGGTCAGGTGTCACACAACCTGTTTGAATTCCTTCTAGACCGTTTCGAGAAGGAGTCTTTCTTGGCCACGCAGGGGCAGAGTGATCTCCAGTCGCTGGTGGATGAGGACGCCGTCTGCTGCATCTGCATGGACGGAGATGGAGCCGACAGCAACGTCATCCTCTTCTGCGACTCGTGCAACATCGCTGTGCACCAGGAGTGTTACGGCGTGCCGTACATCCCAGAGGGTCAGTGGTTGTGCCGCCATTGCCTGCAGCGTCCATCGCGGCCGGCCGAGTGCCTCTTCTGCCCAAACCGAGGAGGTGCTCTGAAAAAGACAGACGACGACCGCTGGGGCCATGTGGTGTGTGCCATGTGGGTCCCAGAAGTCGGGTTCTCCGACACGGTTTTCATAGAGCCCATCGATGGCGTCCGAAACATCCCACCGGCCCGCTGGAAACTTACCTGTTACCTGTGCAAGGCCAAGGGCGCCGGGGCGTGTATCCAGTGCGACAAGATAAACTGTTACACCGCCTTCCACGTCAGCTGCGCCCAGAAGGCGGGCCTTTACATGAAGATGGAACCGGTGAAAGAGCTGACCGAGACAGGCACTGCCACCTTCTCTGTTAAAAAAACCGCTTACTGCTGCAGCCACACGCCCGATGGCTGCGACCGCCGGCCTCTCAACGTCTACGACGAGCTCCATCCCAAGAACGGAGCTTGTCATAAGCGTGCGGACACCAGGGGCAAACCTCGAGCTAAGAGTTGGCAGAAGAAAAAACTGAAAAAAGCACAGCCAGAAGCCGAAGTGGAAGCGGAACCTCAGGCTAACCCCGGGCCCAGCATCACTGCATCAAGGTAAGACGGAGGTCGGGACTGATGAACTGAGGGATGGGACCGGGTCTGATGGACTGACGGACAGAACCAGGGAAGTTCCAGGTGTTTGACCCTCAGTTAAAGTTCACCTGTCTTTCTTTGTGGCTCAGTTTTGACACCATCCTGAACCAGGTGGCCGTACAGAGGAAGCGGCAGTTTGTGGAGCGGGTGTTGAGCTACTGGGTGCTGAAGAGGCAGTCCAGGAACAACGTGCCTCTGATCCGCCGCCTGCAGGCCAACCCACAGCCCTCCAAGGCTCAGCAGCAGAAGGTCAGAGCCGCCCGCCTCACCCTGCTGCTCTTTCACTGTCTGCCTGGTACTGATCAGAACCCTTGTGTGATGCCTTCAGGAGCGGATGGAGACCAACCAGGCGCTGAAGGAGCAGCTGAAGGTGTGGCACCGTCTGCGCCATGACCTGGAGCGAGCTCGGCTGCTGCTGGAACTCATCAGGAAGAGGGAGAAGCTGAAGAGGGAGGAGGTAGGGGCTGCTCAGCTTTCTCACCCCAAGATGAGGATGATGTGGGAGATCCCCCACAGAGTGTCCCACCCCGCTGAGGCCCTGTAGAGCCGCAGAGAGGAGCTACTCTGGTGTTTGTTGATTTTTCTCCCTCTGATACCATCTGCCTCTTTCCTCCAGATGAAGGTCCAGCAGTCGGTCCTGGAGCTGCAGCTGACTCCTTTCAACATCCTGCTGAGGACCGTGCTAAGTCAGCTGCAGGAGAAGGACCAGTACAGCATCTTCGCCCAGCCTGTCAGCATCAAGGAGGTCGGCAACTCTTCAGTGTTTTTGGCGCGTGGGTTAAAGGACCGCTGTGTTTCCTTTATCGTTTTTTGCCTCTTTGCTCTTTGTTGGGCTTAGAAACCAGTTGATTAAGAAACCATGACGACTGAGACTAAAGGGGGGGGGGGGGGGGGGATAATAAGCCTTTTTGCATCTGTTTAGTTCATTAAAACGTGAACCAAGGCATATGGGCCTTGGTACTGAAATGAGGAGAACAGCAGTGACAGTAACAGTATATCGACGGCTGCCCTGGAACCATGGAAAACAGGACATGGTGTCTCTAATGGAGCATTGTGGTGTTTCTGTCGGCCTTCACAGGTCCCAGACTACCTGGACCACATCAAACATCCCATGGACTTCTCCACTATGAGCAAACGGATCGACTCCCACTGCTACCACAGCCTGGACCAGTTTGAGGAGGACTTTAACCTCATCATCAGTAACTGCATGACGTACAACGCCAAGGAAACCTTCTTCTACAAAGCGGCTCAGAGGATGCTGGACCATGGAGGAGTCATCCTACGGAGAGCCCGCAGAGAGGTGGCCAGGATCGGCTTCGACTTCCCCAGCTGCTTGCATCTAGCTGAGGCCCCGAAGCCTGAGCCGGCTCCTCCGTTCTCCTGGGAGGACGGTGAGTGAATCTGTAGCATCCCTCCTCCGCTTCAAGGCTGTGGGATCCAGGAAACCAAACACCTACAACAGTTTGTTAGAAGCAGCAGACCTTTGATCATCTTTAGCTGGTCTGGTTTAGAAACAGCTGGATGTGCTTCGATGGCGCAGTGGTTAGCGCGCACTAGCCTAGTACGAGGGCCTCGACGTGGCCAACCCGGGTTAAAAAAAAAAAAGATACAAGCCACTAGTGCAGTTACAAAAATATACTGTATGGTTCTCTGGTTCCAACAGAGAACCAGTAATAGCAGTACACACTACAGTGTGAGAGACACCATATGAGTGGCGGCGGCATCAGTAAAGCGTACAGTATGGAACATCAGAACTTATTAAAACTTCTGCAATAAATCAGTAAATGTTCCATATATGAAGCTTAAAGGAATAGTACACCCAAAACATGATTAGCCTTCATTTTCTACTCACCCCCATGCTGAACAACACTCTGGAGTACTTTTTTGATATCTCAAATGCATCTGGAGATCTGGGAGGCTTCTTGCTGTCTGCTGACATTCAAATAATGGAGGTCTATGGTGCCTGAGGCAGAAAGGTCCATAAAAGTCCACAAAAAACGTGTCAATATTCCTCCATACTGCTCGTCCAATGTATTCCAAGTGTCCTGAGTGGGTAGCATCCAGAATTTACTCGAAACGAAGTCATTTAGAATGTTTTTAGAGCATAAACAGTAGTGTATAGGATTTCCTGAAAGCGCGATCACGACGCTACGGAAGCCGGCAGACCAAACCAGCGCATTCAGCTCGGCAAAGAACTCATGCTCTTCCTCAACACTGAAGTCCTCAGACATTTTTCTTTCGTCGTTTCTTTCTTTGCACAGGTAAACAGCACATTTCTTCTTCTACGCTTGCATTATCGGCAGAGCAGACGCTGAATGCGCACTTTCATCTGGTTTGGTCTGCCGGCTTCCGTAGCGTCGTGAGCGAGCATGTGCGCGCTTTCAGGAAATCCTATACACTACTGTTTATGCTCTAAAAACATTCTAAATGACTTTGTTTCGAGTAAATTATGGACGCTACCCACTCAGGACACTTGGAATACATTGGACGAGCAGTATGGAGGAATATTGACACGTTTTTTGTGGACTTTTATGGACCTTTCTGTCTCAGTCACCATAGACCTCCATTATTTGAATGTCAGCAGACAGCAAGAAGCCTCCCAGATCTCCAGATGCATTTGAGATATCAAAAAAGTACTCCAGAGTGTTGTTCAGCATGGGGGTGAGTAGAAAATTAAGGCTAATCATGTTTTGGGTGTACTATTCCTTTAAGGTATAATTTTCTCATCTTAAAACGTACTTTTATTGAACAACGGAAACAGAAAAGGGAACTTTTAACTAGAAAGCTGCTGCCGCCGCAGTGCATGCTGGGACAGCATGAACAAGTCTGACCTGATGCATGCTGGGTAAAGAGGGAGGGGCCAGAACAACATCCAGGGACTTTGTCCGTTCTCGGTCTGCTGTTCTTGTGAAGTGGAACGGCACTAGGGCTGAGGATCATGATGTTTCATAAAGGAGGCGAGGACGCACAAGCACTCGTAGTGAGAAACTGCCTTAATGTTTAGTTGCTTTACTTCAATAAGACGCTGAATTTATACCACTGAAGAAGAAGAGTGACATCATATTTATTTGGTCATTAGAAGCCTTCCAGCTGATGATGATGATGATGGTGATGATGATGATGGTGTGTTGTGGTCTCCTAGTGGATCGTCTGCTGACCCCGACCTACCGCCAGCAAACTCCTCTGGAGGATCAGCTGAAGGAGCTCCTAGAGAAGCTGGACCTGAGCGCCGCCATGAAGCACAGCCCGTCCCGCACCAAGAGGCTCAAGCTGCTGAAGAAGACCATCATGGAGGTCCGCTGCCAGATCAGCCTTAAGAAGTCACACCCGCCACCCCCTACCTCCCATCTCCCGCCGTGCCCCCCGCAGCCGGAGGAGGAGCCGCCTCCCCTTGGCACAGCGGACTCCTTACCTCCACTAACATTGGAGCGTTTAAGCTCCTCCCCTCAGGCTGACGGCTCGGCCCCACCCTCTCTGAAGCCCGTCACCCCTCTTTCAGAGCAAACCCCCACTCTTGATGACGACAGCGGCTCATCTACCTCAAAACCCCCACATAACGCCATCAGATCCCTTCCAGACCAGCCTGTACCCAGCAGTGACCTCAGCAGGAACCAGCAGACCGCCATCTTCTTCCAGAAGGCAAAGAGTGCCAGCCCTCAGAAATCGCCGCCCCCCCTGGGAGCCAAGACCTTCCTGTCGGTGGTTATCCCTCGACTGGAGACCCTGCTTCTCCCCAAGAAAAGGAGCCGTAGCAGCAGCGCTGAGGAGGAGGAGGAGGAGCCTCCCATCAAACGTCTCGGCACAGGTTCAGATTTAGAGCGCCGCCGTCCACCACCATAGAAACTGTGACTCCACGTGTTCTGGTCTAAATGTGTCTCTGCTTTAGGGTTGACCAACGGCTTCGTGGTGGAGCAGAAGGAGGATTCTCTGTCTCCTCGCGTCCTGGAGCCGCGGAGGCGCTGCGCCTCCGAATCCAGCATCTCCTGCAGCAGCAGCATCTGTGGCTCCAGGTGACTTTATGCTCCACTGCACTGCTGACATCACAGCTGTGCCACAAGTCGCTCATCCACCTCCCATGTCATCTCTTTCAGTGCTGTCATGGTGTCTAAAGGGGTCAAAGGTCGCCCTGCCATGGCCCGACGAAGCACCGTGGATGAAAGAAGCTCCCTGATGACCTGCATGGAGAGACGGGAGATCTCCAGAACTACCAAAGTCTCCTCAGGTGAGAAACCCGAGGAGGAGCTACAGGGGAGCTACAGGGGAGCTTCAGAGGAGCTACAGGGGAGCTTCAGGGGAGCTACAGGGGAGCTTCAGGGGAGCTACAGAGGAGCTTCAGGGGAGCTTCAGAGGAGCTACAGGGTAGCTACAGGGGAGCTTCAGGGGAGCTTCAGAGGAGCTACAGGGTAGCTACAGGGGAGCTTCAGGGGAGCTACAGAGGAGCTTCAGGGGAGCTACAGGGAAGCTACAGAGGAGCTTCAGGGGAGCTACAGGGGAGCTACAGGGTAGCTTCAGGGGAGCTACAGAGGAGCTTCAGGGGAGCTACAGGGGAGCTACAGAAGTGCTTCAGAGGAGCTACAGGGGAGCTACAGAGGAGCTTCAGGGGAGCTTCAGAGGAGCTACAGGGTAGCTTCAGGGGAGCTACAGAGGAGCTTCAGGGGAGCTACAGGGGAGCTACAGAAGTGCTTCAGAGGAGCTTCAGGGGAGCTACAGAGGAGCTACAGAGGAGCTACAGGGGAGCTACAGAGGAGCTACAGAGGAGCTTCAGGGTAGCTACAGAAGTGCTTCAGAGGACCTACAGGGGAGCTTCAGGGGAGCTGCAGGGGAGCTACAGGGGAGCTACGTAGGAGCTACAGAGGAGCTACAGGGAAGCTACAGAGGAGCTACAGAGGAGCTACAGGGGAGCTACAGAGGAGCTACAGGGGAGCTACAGAGGAGCTACAGAGGAGCTACAGGGGAGCTACAGAGGAGCTACAGAGGAGCTACAGGGGAGCTACAGAGGAGCTACAGGGAAGCTTCAGGGGAGCTACAGAGGAGCTACAGAGGAGCTACAGGGGAGCTACAGAGGAGCTACAGGGGAGCTTCAGGGGAGCTGCAGGGGAGCTACAGAGGAGCTACAGAGGAGCTACAGAGGAGCTACAGGGGAGCTACAGAGGAGCTACAGGGGAGCTTCAGGGGAGCTGCAGGGGAGCTACAGAGGAGCTACAGGGGAGCTACAGAGGAGCTACAGGGGAGCTACAGAGGAGCTACAGGGGAGCTACAGAGGAGCTACAGGGGAGCTTCAGGGGAGCTGCAGGGGAGCTACAGAGGAGCTACAGAAGTGCTTCAGAGGAGCTACAGAGGAGCTACAGAGGAGCTACAGAAGTGCTTCAGAGGAGCTACAGGGGAGCTACAGAGGAGCTACAGAGGAGCTATAGAGGAGCTACAGGGGAGCTACAGAGGAGCTTCAGAGGAGCTACAGAGGAGCTACAGAGGAGCTACAGGGGAGCTGCAGGGGAGCTACAGAGGAGCTACAGGGGATCTACAGGGGAGCTACAGAGGAGCTACAGAGGAGCTACAGGGGAGCTACAGAGGAGCTACAGGGAAGCTTCAGGGGAGCTACAGAGGAGCTACATGGGAGCTACAGAGGAGCTACAGAGGAGCTACAGAAGTGCTTCAGAGGAGCTACAGAGGAGCTACAGAGGAGCTACAGGGAAGCTTCAGGGGAGCTACAGAGGAGCTACAGGGGAGCTACAGAGGAGCTTCAGGGTAGCTACAGAAGTGCTTCAGAGGAGCTACAGAGGAGCTACAGAGGAGCTACAGAGGAGCTACAGAGGAGCTACAGGGGAGCTACAGAGTAGCTTCAGAGGAGCTACAGAGGAGCTACAGAGGAGCTACAGGGGAGCTGCAGGGGAGCTACAGAGGAGCTACAGGGGATCTACAGGGGAGCTACAGGGGAGCTACAGAGGAGCTACAGAGGAGCTACAGAGGAGCTACAGAAGTGCTTCAGAGGAGCTACAGAGGAGCTACAGAGGAGCTACAGGGAAGCTTCAGGGGAGCTACAAGGGAGCTTCAGGGGAGCTACAGAGGAGCTTCAGGGTAGCTACAGAAGTGCTTCAGAGGAGCTACAGAGGAGCTACAGAGGAGCTACAGGGAAACTTCAGGGGAGCTACAGAGGAGCTACAGGGGAGCTACAGGGGAGCTACAGAGGAGCTACAGGGGAGCTACAGGGGAGCTTCAGGGGAGCTACAGGGGAGCTTCAGGGGAGCTACAGAGGAGCTACAGGGAAGCTTCAGGGGAGCTACAGGGGAGCTACAGGGGAGCTACAGAGGAGCTACAGAGGAGCTACAGGGGAGCTTCAGGGGAGCTACAGAGGAGCTTCAGGGGAGCTTCAGGGGAGCTACAGGGGAGCTACAGAGGAGCTACAGGGGAGCTACAGGGGAGCTACAGGGGAGCTTCAGGGGAGCTACAGGGGAGCTACAGGGGAGCTACAGGGGAGCTACAGGGGAGCTACAGGGGAGCTACAGGGGAGCTACAGGGGAGCTTCAGGGGAGCTACAGGGGAGCTACAGGGGAGCTTCAGGGGAGCTACAGAGGAGCTACAGGGAAGCTTCAGGGAAGCTTCAGGGGAGCTACAGGGGAGCTTCAGGGGGGCTACAGGAGCAGTCCATGCATCAGAACCAGTGTGTTCAGCAGCCAGTTTTCCCTCCAACCCTCTCAGTGGATCAGCTTCAGACCAGTCAGTTAGTTCTGACTGACTGACTGACTGACTGGCCTCCTCCTGACTGACTTACTGGCCTCCTCCTGACTGACTGACTGACTGACTGGCTGGCCTCCTCCTGACTGACTGACTGACTGACTGACTGACTGGCTGGCCTCCTCCTGACTGACCGACTGACTGACTTGCCTCCGCCTGACTGACTGACTGACTGACTGACTGGCTGACTGACTTGCCTCCTCCTGACTGACTGACTGATTGTCCTCCTCCTGACTGACTGACTGACTGACTGACTGGCCTCCTCCTGACTGACTGACTGATTGTCCTCCTCCTGACTGACTGACTGACTGACTGATTGTCCTCCTCCTGACTGACTGACTGACTGGCCTCCTCCTGACTGACTGACTGACTTGCCTCCTCCTCCTGACTGACTGACTGACTGACTTGCCTCCTCCTCCTGACTGACTGACTGACTGACTTGCCTCCTCCTGACTGACTGACTGACTGACTGCCTTGCCTCCTCCTGACTGACTGTCTGACTTACTGACTGCCTTGCCTCCTCCTGACTGACTGTCTTGCCTCCTCCTGACTGACTGACTGCCTTGCCTCCTCCTGACTGACTGACTGACTGCCTTGCCTCCTCCTGACTGACTGACTTGCCTCCTCCTGACTGACTGACTGACTTGCCTCCTCCTGACTGACTGACTGCCTTCCCTCCTCCTGACTGACTGACTGACTGACTGACTGACTGGCCTCCTCCTGACTGACTGACTGACTGACTGACTGTCCTCCTCCTGACTGGCTGACTGACTGACTGGCCTCCTCCTGACTGACTGACTGACTGACTTGCCTCCTCCTCCTGACTGACTGACTGACTGACTGACTGGCCTCCTCCTGACTGACTGACTGTCCTCCTCCAGACTGACTGACTGACTTGCCTCCTCCTCCTGACTGACTGACTGATTGTCCTCCTCCTGACTGACTGACTGACTGACTGACTGACTTGCCTCCTCCTCCTGACTGACTGACTGATTGTCCTCCTCCTGACTGACTGACTGACTGACTGGCCTCCTCCTGACTGACTGACTGACTGACTGACTGGCCTCCTCCTGACTGACTGACTGACTGGCCTCCTCCTGACTGACTGACTGACTGACTTGCCTCCTCCTGACTGACTGACTGATTGTCCTCCTCCTGACTGACTGACTGACTGACTGACTGGCCTCCTCCTGACTGACTGACTGACTGACTTGCCTCCTCCTCCTGACTGACTGACTTGCCTCCTCCTCCTGACTGGCTGACTGACTGACTGACTGACTGACTGACTGACTGACTGACTGACTGACTGACTGATTGACTGACTGATTGTCCTCCTCCTGACTGACTGACTGGCCTCCTCCTGACTGACTGACTGACTGACTTGCCTCCTCCTGACTGACTGACTGACTGACTGATTGTCCTCCTCCTGACTGACTGACTGACTGGCCTCCTCCTGACTGACTGACTGACTTGCCTCCTCCTCCTGACTGACTGACTGACTTGCCTCCTCCTCCTGACTGGCTGACTGACTTGCCTCCTCCTGACTGACTGACTGACTGCCTTGCCTCCTCCTGACTGACTGACTGACTGCCTTGCCTCCTCCTGACTGACTGACTGCCTTCCCTCCTCCTGACTGACTGTCTGACTGACTGACTGACTTGCCTCCTCCTGACTGACTGTCTGACTGACTGACTTGCCTCCTCCTGACTGACTGACTGACTGCCTTGCCTCCTCCTGACTGACTGACTGCCTTGCCTCCTCCTGACTGACTGTCTGACTGACTGACTGCCTTGCCTCCTCCTGACTGACTGAGTGACTTGCCTCCTCCTGACTGACTGACTGACTGACTTGCCTCCTCCTGACTGACTGACTGACTGACTTGCCTCCTCCTGACTGACTGACTGCCTTCCCTCCTCCTGACTGACTGTCTGACTGACTGACTGACTTGCCTCCTCCTGACTGACTGTCTGACTGACTGACTGACTGACTGACTGACTGACTTGCCTCCTCCTGACTGACTTGCCTCCTCCTGACTGACTGACTGACTGACTTGCCTCCTCCTGACTGACTGACTGACTGACTGACTGGCCTCCTCCTGACTGACTGACTGCCTTGCCTCCTCCTCCTGACTGACTGACTGACTTGCCTCCTCCTCCTGACTGGCTGACTGACTTGCCTCCTCCTGACTGACTGACTGACTGACTGATTGTCCTCCTCCTGACTGACTGGCTGCCTTGCCTCCTCCTCCTGACTGACTGACTGACTTGCCTCCTCCTCCTGACTGACTGACTGACTTGCCTCCTCCTCCTCCTGACTGACTGGCTGCCTTGCCTCCTCCTCCTGACTGTCTGACTGACTGACTGACTGACTTGCCTCCTCCTGACTGACTTGCCTCCTCCTGACTGACTGACTGACTGACTGGCCTCCTCCTGACTGACTGACTGCCTTGCCTCCTCCTCCTGACTGACTGACTGACTGACTTGCCTCCTCCTCCTGACTGGCTGACTGACTTGCCTCCTCCTGACTGACTGACTGACTGACTGACTGACTGATTGTCCTCCTCCTGACTGACTGACTGCCTTGCCTCCTCCTCCTGACTGACTGACTGACTTGCCTCCTCCTCCTGACTGACTGACTGACTTGCCTCCTCCTGACTGACTGACTGACTGACTGACTGGCCTCCTCCTGACTGACTGACTGACTGACTTGCCTCCTCCTGACTGACTGTCTGTCTGACTGACTGACTGACTGACTTGCCTCCTCCTGACTGACTTGCCTCCTCCTGACTGACTGACTGACTGACTTGCCTCCTCCTGACTGACTGACTGACTGACTGGCCTCCTCCTGACTGACTGACTGCCTTGCCTCCTCCTGACTGACTGACTGACGTGCCTCCTCCTGACTGACTGACTGACTGGCTGACTTGCCTCCTCCTGACTGACTGACTGGCTGGCTGGCTGGCCTCCTCCTGACTGACTGTCTGTCTGACTGACTGACTGACTGACTTGCCTCCTCCTGACTGACTTGCCTCCTCCTGACTGACTGACTGACTGACTTGCCTCCTCCTGACTGACTGACTGACTGACTGGCCTCCTCCTGACTGACTGACTGCCTTGCCTCCTCCTGACTGACTGACTGACTGGCTGACTTGCCTCCTCCTGACTGACTGACTGGCTGGCTGGCTGGCCTCCTCCTGACTGTTGATTGTGGGTCTTCACAGATCGTGAATCCAAGAGTTCGGAAGACATGGTTTCATCACAGCAGGGCGGAGCCTCCCATCCCGCCATCGGACGTCCTCAGAGCCGCAGAGCCGATGCAGTTCAGGTCCGCAGAGAAACTCTTCCTCGTCCGCTCCTTCGACAGCAAGCGCAGCTGGTAGGAGGATGTTTAGGGCTCCTCAGGGCGTCTGGTATCAGGTTTCTGTCAAATACCTTCTGAACTTATCCAAGTTCTTCTCTGCAGGCAATGGCTTCCTAGATCCGAGATGGCTCCCTTTGGGATCAGCCAGAGCCTGAACAGGACAAAGCTGACGGAGGCTAGTGCTTCTATCAGAAGAGCGGTCCGCCTGGCCTTCGATGGAGCTTTGCAGCAACTAAACGGTGCTGTGGAGCCGGGGCACGGCGGCGGCTGAACTCCACCAACAATCCCTCCATCTTTACTGACTGCCTCATGCGCACAACCCACGCTCATGTTTACCACGTCCTCTAGGTGGAGCCCTGCTGCTTAGCGTGTGTCTGATCTTCTGTCAAAGAGCTATGCAAAAGAACACCTCAGCGGGGGCCGCCTCCAGCTGGACCCGGTGGTTGAGTCGGAGCTCGACCTCTGACCACTGGATCTGAGCTGCTGCACCAGCGCCACTGCCACAACCCCTCAGCCTGTTGGTGTGAAGCAGCAGCTGCTCTTGTGATCATCCCACACTAATTTATTCACTCCTCGGTTGGCGGATCTCTCCCCTCAGAGGAGCTCCTTCTGGTGCTATCTCCACTGGGAGAACAAACTGGACTGGTTTCAGTTTTTCTAACTTATTGACGTCTTTTGCATCATCTTGTTTCTGGCATTAATTCTGTGTGCATCTTTTTTATGGAAATGTTTTTACTGGACTGTTCCATGTTTCTGTTTGTTTGTAGATATTTATATGAAATCTATATAGAAGCTCTTAAAGTGCATCATTCACAGCGAATCACATGGGGATCTTCAGGTTTGGAGCCTTTCTGTTTGGTTCAAACGTTGCATCAGCATCTCCTCCAGGTGAGCCTCGGCTCGGCAGGCGAAGAAGCAGAGAACGTGCCTCTACTAATTTATTGTGAAGCAGAAGCTGGAGATGCATCACTTTATACTGCTGGGCCTCCTGTGGTGTGCTTTTCTGCTTTGGACCGATGGCATTAATGTTTTCCTTTGACAGTCTGGCGTGTGTGGACTTCCTGTTTGTTTCCAGCCCTCCTGGATGTTTGCTATAAATAGATTTGGTACTTTACTTGATTCTCTGGGAACAAACTCACACGGTCCCAGCCAATGGGAGCAGCTCTCTGCAGGCTGCTGGGATTTTTATACGAAAACACTGAAAAATAAAACCTCATTCAAATACTGAGCCCGTCTCCTCTTTCTTTCTCCTTTATCATGTTTATTCTTAAAGACTTTGGCTACGAATCATTTTCTATTTTGAAACCTTTGGATAATATTCCAGTGTTATATTATTCCTTTATCTTTTTTGTAATTTTTTTGTTTAGACAGATTTCCATCAAATTCATTAATTACAGCTTTAAGCGTCTAGGTCGTACATGAGGATATAAGCAGAGTCCAAGTGATTCTGTCCATAATCCCCCTCTGTCCAGCTTGGACCCTCCCCACTGTCTAGGGTGGACCCCTACCGTCTGTCTGTACAGCTGGAGATGGACACCAGCAGCCCTCATAACAGAAAATGTACTAATTTAAGTTGTAAACAATAACCGAATTGAACAGTAATGGGGGTTTTACCACCTCGACCTCAGTCCATTTGGTCCAGATCTTCTAAAATGTCCCTTTTTCAACTTGGAGGGAAGAAGAAATCTTTTCCTTAAATCTGGTAAAAAATTTTAATCCACTGATGGATAGATGCAGGATCTGGTTTGAGCCATTTCCTTGTGATGTTTTTTTTACTGGCTGCCGGTAGCAGGTCAGTAGTTATTATTGGTCCATGTGACCAAATGTAAGTCACCCAAAAAACGTTTCACATTTGAAATTTTTACATTGAATATATTTTCAATATGTTTGTGGAACATGGGCTGCTCAGTGGCGCAGTGGGTAGCACTGCAGCAAGAAGGTTCTGGGTTCGATTCCCGGCCCGGGGTCTTTCTGCAAGGAGTTTGCATGTTCTCCCGGAGCATGCGTGAGTTCTCTCTGGGTACTCCAGCTTTCTCCGACAGTCCAATAACATGACTGTTAGGTTAATTGGCTTCTCTATATTCTCTTAAGGTGTGTGTGAATGGTTGTTTGTCTCTGTGTTGCCCTGTGATGGACTGCCTCTCTGTCCAGGGTGTTCCCCCGCCTCTCACCCATTGACTGCTGGAGAACTCTTCCCAAAAATGCTTTTATTACCTGACAGTCACAAAAACATGGAAGCTCCTTCAGATCCACAGAGTCTCCAGCAGGCGTCTCTGTTGCTTTCATACAGTCTCTGAAAGAGAGTAAAAACTGCAATGTTTTTCCAGCAGAACTGGCCATGTTTGATGCAGTCGAGACTTACTGCAGTTGACATAATTCCTCCCATCTTCTGACATTATCACCTTCATTTCCTCTTTATGTTTGGGTAGCTGTATGGCGTTCTATCATTTACAGATAATTCTGCTGTCTAATCAGTGACAGAATTACCTCCATGAAACTTGACTCACTTTTTCTCAACACCTCTTTAAAATTTCTTGTGAAATAATGTCTCACCTGCAGGTACCTGAAAAAAAATCATCTTTTCCCAGACGATGGTCCTTCTGTAAGGTTTCAAAACTCTGAAATATCCCTTTATGGACAAATGAATACTAGGAAGTTAATCCTTTTGGGATCCATAATTTGAATCGGTTATCAATTCTACTTGGTGTAAAATCTGAATCATAGGCACACCAACTCATCATTTTAGACGTTTCTCCTAATAATCACTAAGCATGAATGCTGTCAGGGTTCCTTTTATTGACGTATTTCCTTCCAGGCTGCGGTGTACGATGGTGAACAGAGGCAGACTAAAGGTCTCAGCTGGGCTGGATTGTAGTATTCCTGGAAACAGGGAAGGCCCATTCTACCCTTTTCTTTTTTTAGTTGCAAAGTTCTAAACTTAATTCTGGCCTTTTTACCCTGCCACAAATCCCTCGTTATTAATCTATCCTATTCTGAGAACTTTTTGGGAGGGATTTTGACTGGTAGACATTGAAGGTACTCTTCACCTACGACTGCAAGCCTGTGTATGCGTCTAATTCCATCATCAAGTTTGCGGACGACACCACGGTGATTGGTCTCATCATCAACAATGAGTCTGCTTATAGGGAGGAGATTGAGCACTTGGCCACATGGTGCGCTGAAAATTACCAGCTCCCAACACCAGCAAAACAAAGGAGCCTATCATAGACTTCAGGAAAGATTCAACAGGCACCCAAGACACCATCCACATCAATTGAATAGCACATCAATGAGTTCTTTGCCGAGCTGAATGCTCGGCAAAGAACTCATGCTCTTCCTCAACACTGAAGTCCTCAGACATTTTTCTTTCGTTGTTTCTTTCTTTGCACAGGTAAACAGCATTTCTTCTTCTACGCTTGCATTATTGGCAGAGCAGACGCTGATTGCGCACTTTCATCTGGCTTGGTCTGCCGCGCTTTCCGTAGACTCGGGAACGTGCTTTTAGGAAATCCTATACACTACTGGACTTTTATGGACCTTTCTGCCTCGGGCGCCATAGACCTCCATTATTTGAATGTCAGCAGACAGCAAGAAGCCTCCCAGATCTCCAGATGCATTTGAGATATCAAAAAAGTACTCCAGAGTGTTGTTCAGCATGGGGGTGAGTAGAAAATGAAGGCTAATCATGTTTCGGGTGTACTATTCCTTTAAGGACTCATCCCACCCAGCCCACAGACTGTTTTCTCTCCTGCCCTCCGGCAGGCGGTTCAGGTGCCTCCGAACCAGAACCAGCAGACTAAAGAACAGCTTTTCCCCCAGAGCTGTCTCTTTACTGAACTCTAACCCTCACGGATGGACTCTACTCTCCTTCCTCACACCTACTACCATTTTGATATTCTTTTATTAACAAGACTGTAATGTTAACCTGTACTCCTGACTGTTACTATAGTAACAACTGTTTACATGCATCTTGCACTACCACTTTGACTGATTATTGATTTGCACTGCAGACTGCTTATTCACAGTACCAATTGTTTACATCTGCAATAACATACTTTACCTGTAATATGCAATTACCTTCCTACATACCTACATACTTTAACCTGAAATATCCTCCTTATTTTTCTTTTAAAACAGCAAATTTAAATCCATGTCAATAGCAGGTAAAAGAGATGGATGAGGCAATGATCTAATAACTGTTTTACTGAAGTTTATTTGAGATAATTCCAGATATTTTATAGTACTATCTTCTGTCCATCAAATGGTTAGGAGTGTTGAACAAATAACTGTAAGAGTTGTTTGATTTTCCTGATTGTGTTTTTATTTATTTTTTTTCATTTAACCGGATGTAGTATTTGGAACGAATGCTTACGTATTGATGAACTGTAAAACATATGAACCTGAAAGGAAGAAATTGAGAAGAGTAGTTGAAAGGACAGGCCAAGAATGGAGTCTTAAAGAATGGCGGTATGCACCTTAAAGTTGCTTGCGATCTGCCATGATAGAAAAGAAGATGAAGAAGAAGAAGAAGGAACGAATGCTTTCATTGGATGAAAAGAAGCTGAGCGTGATTGGCTGATGGTATGGTTCATTTACATACATTGCTGAAGTTGCGAGCGCAGAGAGTCGAGCGAGCGGAGAAACAGCCGAGATCACAGCTGGTGTTGAGCGCGGAGACAGCAGGTCGAGCGCGAGCAGAGACGGATTCGAGCACGCGCAGAGATGCAACTGAGCGCCAGAACACTGAGCTAGTGTTCAGGCTAGTAGTAAAGTATAACAAAATACAGCATTGTGGTTAGACTATAAAGTAAAACAGCATCTGTAAGGAACAATATCCAAAAATGTTTGTCTGTTTAAGCTAAAGGTTCAATTAGGCTGAAGGTCCTCTCCAGTTCATTACTAGCTTCATGCGTGGAGTGGGAAATATTGTCCAACAATTAATATATTGGCTTAATTAAAGAATTAGAAATGACTAACAATGTAGAGCTATTTGTTTTTTTTTAAAATGAGCTCAGCATAAACTATATATTAAAAATGTAGCAGTCTGCACATACAGTATTACTGGGCTGCGAATCTTAATAAAACTTTTCATTCCAAGGTTATTGTTGATAAATGAAAAAGAGCCAACTTGGATGTTCTATGTAAGACACAGATACAGTTTTTAAAAAACGTAGCGCATCAGTTTGTTTTGAACCTGCTTGTGATGGTAATTTATTATATCTTAAAAAGTAAAGCAGCACAAATGTTGGTTTTAACGGCACAAATCAGCACAAACGACGCACTAAAAAAGGAGACCACTTTGGATCAAATTGGAGTTTAATGGGGGGATGGTGACCTCTGGATGACCTAAGAAATAATCTTTAATATCTCTTAAACAAAAGTAGCACAAACGATATTTTTTCCTGCAAAAATCTGCTCTAACGTTGCACTAACCATTCAGTCTATTTGCAGAGTTTTTTGACGTGGGTGGGGTGTCAGCTTCACGCAGCTTGGATAGGTTCCTGCGCTTAAACCGATGGCACAAATATCTCTCCATAGACAGGATAAATGAACAGTAGCCGGCGCGCAAATTATGTTGTACACGATGATGCTTTGTTTTAAAAAAATATAAAAAATATAACTGCGGATGTCTGGGGGACAGTGATTCGCCTACATGTTCTGAATGCTGGCGTACCATAAAGAATAAATTATGAACAGTTTAGTTTGTGCCTTCAAGTCGTTGCTCATAGGAAAACGTTACCTGGATATAACCTAACAGAATATCTTCAGAACAGCTCTAAATGACACAAAACTCATATGGGTGAGTAGAACATGATGGAATAACGTAAAATCAAGGGCCAAATGTAAAAAAAAAAAAAAAAAAAACGGGGGTTCCCCTTTAACCTTAAAAAAGGACTAACATTCCATCCATACAGGTGCTGGTCATAAAATTAGAATATCATGAAAAAGTAGATTGATTTCAGTAATTCCATTTAAAAAGTGAAACTTGTATATTATATTCATACATTACATACAAACTCATATATTTCAGATGTTTATTTTGTTTAATTTTGATGATTACAAATGACAACAAATGAAAATCTCAAATTCATCATATCAGAAAATTAGAATATTGTGAAAAGGTTCAAAATTGATGGCCCCTGGTGCCACACTCTAATCAGCTAATTAACTCAAACCACCTGCAAAAGCCTTTAAATGGTCTTTCAGTCTAGTTCTATAGGCTACACAATCATGGGGAAGACTGCTGACTTGACAGTTGTCCAAAAGACGACCATCGACACCTTGCACAAGGAGGGCAAGACACAAAAGGTCATCGCTAAAGAGGCTGGCTGTTCACAGAGCTCAGTGTCCAAGCACATTAATAGAGAGGCGAAGGGAAGGAAAAGATGTGGTCGAAAAAAGTGTACAAGCAAGAGAGATAACCGCACCCTGGAGAGGATTGTGAAACAAAACCCATTCAAAAATGTGGGGGAGATTCACAAAGAGTGGACTGCAGCTGGAGTGAGTGCTTCAAGAACCACCACACACAGACGTATGAAAGACATGGGTTTCTGCTGTCGCATTCCTTGTGTCAAGCCACTCTTGAACCACAGACAGCGTCAGAAGCGTCTTGCCTGGGCTAAAGAGAAACAGGACTGGACTGCTGGTGAGTGGTCCAAAGTCATGTTCTCTGATGAAAGTAAATTTTGCATTTCCTTTGGAAATCAAGGTCCCAGAGTCTGGAGGAAAAGAAGAGAGGCACTTCATCCACGTTGCTTGAAGTCCAGTGTAAAGTTTCCACAGTCAGTGATGGTTTGGGGTGCCATGTCATCTGCTGGTGTTGGTCCATTGTGTTTTCTGAGGTCCAGGGTCAACGCAGCCACATACCAGGAAGTTTTAGAGCACTTCATGCTTCCTGCAGCTGACCAACTTTTTGGAGATGCAGATTTCATTTTCCAACAGGACTTGGCACCTGCACACAGTGCCAAAGCTACCAGTACCTGGTTGAAGGACCATGGTATCCCTGTTCTTAATTGGCCAGCAAACTCTCCTGACCTTAACCCCATAGAAAATCTATGGGGTATTGTGAAGAAGAAGATGCAATACACCAGACCCAACAATTCAGAAGAGCTAAAAGCCACTATTAGAGCAACCTGGGCTATCATAACACCTGAGCAGTGCCACAGACTGATCGACTCCATGCCACGCCGCATTGCTGCAGTAATACAGGCCAAAGGAGGCCCAACTAAATACTGAGTGCTGTACATGCTCATACTTTTCATGTTCATACTTTTTAGTTGGCCAACATTTCTATAAATCCTTTGTTTTTATTGATCTTCAGTAATATTCTAATTTTCTGATATGATGAATTTGAGATTTTCATTTGTTGTCATTTGTAATCATCAAAATTAAACAAAATAAACATCTGAAATATATGAGTTTGTATGTAATGTATGAATATAATATACAACTTTCACTTTTTAAATGGAATTACTGAAATCAATCTACTTTTTCATGATATTCTAATTTTATGACCAGCACCTGTATATTATCTGACACGCTTGTCCCCAATGGGCAAGAGGCGGGGTCACCCTGGACAGGCCACCAGTCCATCGCAGAAAGGAATAACATTCCATCTGTGTAAATCTGTTTTTCTTTTCAAATTTAGTGGGCCATAATTTATATCAAACACTTTAGAGAAGTCCCTCGATAGTGAAACACCCAAATATTTGATAGACACAGCTTCCCAATTCCACCGTTTTAATTGAAGACGGTGGATCAAAGTTAAATGTTGATACTTGAGATTTTTATTTTTAACTCGAGATTAAACTCTTCAAGCAGGTTCATCAGTTTTGGGATTGTCTGTGTTATACTTATCAATAAACCATCGGCGAACAGGGAAAGTTTTTGCTCCCCAGATGTAATTGTCACCTTCTATAAAAAAATAAATAAAAAAACACCCCACCAAATCTAATGCTTAATATCCCTGTTTATAAGGTTTATAATCACTGTCACTGTCACAGGATGATAACCCCTGCATACCAACTTGTCTTTCCCTTCCTTCGGTATGATTGAAATAACCGCCTCTCGCCATAAGGGGGGGGGGGATATTTATATTTTCTAAAACCCAGTTGAATGTTTTCACCAATGTTGGAATTAGTTGTTCTGCCAGAATTTTGCACAACTCTGTAATTAATCCTACGGAAGAGGATTAGGGCCACTGGAAAAAAAAAAAGTTAACTGATTTTTAAAATTTATTTCAGTTTAGTAGGCCTATGGGAAAAAAGTCAGAATTCTGAATTTTTTCTCAGAATTCTCACTGAATTCTGACAATAAAAGTCAAAATTCTGAGATTAGTCAGAATTATGACTTTTTTCTCAGAATTGTGACTTTTTATATTAGCTTAAAGTCAGAATTCTGACAAAAAAAAGTCCGAATTATGACTTTTTTTTCATACTAAACTGAAATTAATTTTAAAAATCAGTTAACTTTTATTTTCTTCTTCCAGTGGCCCTAATCCTCTTCCATAGAATCCATCTGTCCCTGGAGACTTTTCCTTTTTGGTTCCCTTGGTTGCTGATTGACTTTCCCCTTTTGTAATTTTGGATATTGATTTATTTTGTTCATCAGTAATCGTTGGAGGATTTATCTTTTCCAGAAAGGCAATAATCTGGCTGTGGCTGCTTGTCTTAGTGAGTATTTAGTGTTTTACAGTATTTTGAATTTCATTCAGATTAGTTTTCATTTTCTTTGTTGCGTTTTTTCTTATTTTGTGTATCGTTCTGCAGGCTTGTTTTCTTAACCTATATGATAAAAGTTTCAGGGATCAGTTTGACCGTTTTATAAAAATAAGCTTGTTATTGGATTTCCTGAGTATTTATTTCTCCTATTTCTCTTTTTTAGTTTTATAATCTTATATTTGGTGTCCTCTTTGGAAGACTTTGCATCTTCTCTCTGTAATCTTTGCTTTTTAAACTGCATTTAACAAGCTTTTTACAAACCATACAGCTTGCCATTGTTTTTATTTATGGTATTTTCTGCTCTGATGGTCTCTCTCCCTCTCTGGCATCTGAGGAGTGGAGCGTTTGCTGAGTGGGCGGGGCCAGGCTGAGCCTGTGTCCTGACCCGGTGACGAGGAGCAGCAATGTCTCGTTATTCTTAGATTATTATTAGTTAAATAATTATATTTCTAATCTGCCTACTTATCAGGATTTTGGGCCTTTCACATCCGGTTGGCTTCTGGATCGGCTATTAAACTCCAGTTATTCCCACCAATTTAGTGATTTAGGCTAGGCTATCAGCAGAGCTGTTAATTACCAACCAAAAAAATATTTGTCTCTAATTATTCAAATGTCACCAAAAGGTGAGTGAATCTAGCCTGAGTGATAAACCAATCGATGCACAATAATCACAAACTACTGCAAGTGAAAACAACGATGTCTTTATTTTTACAATCCAGGATTATAAAGAAATCTAACAATCACTGCAAACACTACTTACTACTTAAAAGATAAAAACACAAAGTAGACTAAATGAATAATTTGAAAGAAGGGAGAAAGCGGTCTAAGACTACAATGTTAATATATCCATCAGTGTAACAATGTAACATTATTTAGCTTATAATGGTTAGTTTACAATGCATTAACAACATAGCATTGTAGCACCTCAGTGATCGATGAAGGGGGAGGGTGCTTGATGCAAAGTCAACAAGGCAGGATCAAGATGGAGGCCCCCCTACCTTGTGGTCTGGAGTGGGGAAGCAACAGGCTGGAAAACTACTATTCATGCTGATCACGTGCCTTAAGGGGAAGAGTTGGACTACAATGGGGCGTATCTTAATATATGAAGTCACAGAATGGTTGCTCCTTCCCCCATGTGATTACTCAAGGTTTTACTGGGTTTTTAATCCTCAACAAACTCATTCACAGCACGTTCATTCACACCATGATGGTGTGCCCTGGGTGGAGGGAGGAGCTGGGCTAGATGATGCTGCATCAAGTTCCTCACTTTAAAGTTTCTGAAAAATAAAAACACAACATTTCTTAATTGTGAATCTTTTTGTATGGCCGACACTTAATGCCTACCGCTCAGGAGCATATGTGCCTGATCCTGTATGGCAGGCATCAAGTGCCTGCCTGCCATTTAGGAGCATATGTGAATAAACCTATATGGCAGGCACTCGGGTAACATTATCAAGATTAACAGAGAAATTAGATGGGATTTTAAAATAACATAAGACATACCCTCTTTTTAGATTTGTGCTCCTGGTCCTCTGCTTCAGAGTCACTGGAGGACTCTGAAAGGGTCAGGAGAGGAGCTTCCTCCATGCCACTTAATAATGACTCTTGTGCTGGATTGATGGCTAACTCAAAATCCTTACGGATTTGAGCCAACTGCGAAGTCGTCAAGTGGAGCGAGTGGTATTTTTCAGCCGTGGCAGTATCACGACACATGGTTTTAGATATTTGTTGAGGGGTGTTTCGGGAGATAACATTTATAGCCTTGAAAAATAGAGAAAGTTGTTCAATATTTGGTTTTTATTTTCAATTTAGTAAATGAAAAAATGATATTACTTACATATGATGCAATAGATGTGCGGAAATCTGTAAATGTGGGGGATCCAGATAACCCCATCTCTGACCAAGCAGCTTGCATAGGGATGAGGAAATTTATTTTGGTGTTGTTTTCGGTGAAGAAAACAAGGTCTGTTGATGGCTGAAGTTTCTCTCTAATCAAGAGCCACTGTTCCAGCCAACCAAACTCTTCCACACTCAGGTACAGCTGTGCCAGCCCAAAGGCATGATTTGTTTTGTGCCCCTTGACCTGTAGTGCAAAGGAGAGGGTATGTTTCTTGCCATATGGGAAGATCTATTGGTGCTCCTATATGGTAGGCACTCGGGTAAATCCAGCAAGTGTTTTATAAATGCAATATCAGTACACTTACGTTTACCACAAAGCCCTCGTCTCCAACTCTGGCCTCCTGCTGGGCCTCGTCTACCTCTGAAATGGTCATATTTTCAAGAACACCAGTTCTGTGACCATACAGACTGGCTAGGTAGACGCTTATATAGCCAAAAAATCTCCTTCGGGACTCCGGGTTAGGGTCGTTGGCCAGTTCATCTAAAAACATGAATTCAAATAAAAGCATCTCCGAATCCTCCTGTATGGCAGCCATTGAGTGCGTGCCATTTAGGAGCAAGCACAGGAACTCAGGTAAGTCACATGAATATAGTAAAGAGTTTACATAAGTCTTACCAAGAATTTCTGGAATTCGACATCTTGCAGTCTTCTGGCAGGTGTGTAGATCCTCTTTGGGAATGACCGTGTTCACATTGTGTTCTTCTACTTTTATTTGTTCAAGAATGCTACGTCTTCCCAGTTTTGAAACTGAGGAGGACAGGGCTTCAAGGACAGCATCCAAAGCTGTTTTTGGAACGCTGGAGTATGGCGGAGGGCTGTCTCGGAAGTACGCTATGAACTCAGAGATGTTGACCAGGTAAGATTTGATGGTCCTGATGGCCTTTCCCTCCTTAACTAGATGTTGTGGCCACCTGCTCAAAAAAATTAAAAATTTTAACTTCAACAAGAACACATATATTAGCTAAAATGCATTAGAGAGACACTTACTCGTTTATTCTCTTAATATTGTGGAGAAACATCCAGTTCCAAACAACTTTCTGCCCTTCTGAGAGGAATGTGAGGAAGAGCATTATCCGCCGGACTTTTGATCTCTGGTTTTCCTCCTGTTTTTTGTTATGACATGAGCCCTTCAAGTGGACCCAATACTCTTCAATGTATTCCACTGAATAAAAAAAAAAAAAAGGTTCAAAAATAACTTGTCTGCTTATGAAAATTGAAAAATGTAGCAAACAGTAACATTACTCCAAAGGCAGTTAAAGGCACACTATGCAACATTTTTCAGTTAATTAATGTGTTCCATAACATTTTGGATGATTAAATGAGTCATTTCAGGTTGAACAAAGGTATTCTCGGCCGCCCTGGTGGTCTGTGGGGGAAATACTGCACTTGAAATTGCAGGAGCACCGACCCGCACCCACAGGCTCAGAAGTCTCGCGAGAGTCAGTCTTGCTTTACGGCGAGAACTGCTACATGCCCCCAGTTAAAAGCATTCCCGTTGCTAGCACAGTGGCAATCTTTGTGCAGTTATGCTACGTTCACGCAGCAAAAGCAGCAAAATCGCGTCTGCTGCTTCCTTTTTGCTGCTCGTACCAGTTAGTTCTGACGCGCGGCTGAAGCAGCTTTGCTGCTCTGGCTGCGCGGTGCAAAAGTGTGTCTGAGGCGCGTTGGGCGGAGCTTCACTATCCTTTCTCTGCCTTGCAGCTATATTTGCTGTGATCAGTGGGAATAAAGTAGTTTTAATATGTTTTTAAGTGAGAAAATACACCTGAAAACGTAATCAGTGCAGTCAGTTCATTCAGATTATTATCCTGCCTTCAATATTTTTTCTGTCGGAGCCGCTCAGACCCCCACATACCAGCGGGGCGCTATCAGTAGGAATCCCTTCATCAGGAGCCTCTGGCCTGGTCACCTCCTCGCGGTTCACCGCGGCAGCTGGTAGGTGTTTTTCATCTAAATAATCCAAAATGCATATTCTGCCGGCAGATTTCTGCATTTTAAGTTAATTTAGGCGTCAATAAACTGTTTAAGAGGAGAGATCATAGCCTCTGATCATCAGCGCTGTGTCTCTCTCCCTGCGTCAGATGATTAAACGCGCCTTTCAGCTGCTCAGACGCGCTGGGCCTGCTGTTCAAAACGCGCCGCGGGACCTTTTGCTGCGCCTTGACGCGCGTCAACCATTGACTTTGCATGTAAACTCGCTGCTTCTGTTGCGCCAGCTGCGGTGTGAACGCAGCATTAGTCATTCGTTGCGTTCGCCTGTCTGCTAAGCTCAAAACAACCGCGCCTGGCTTGACGGAGAAACCAGGAGAACAGCTGTGCATATTTACGACAGTACACTTTTACTTTCGCCCTCTGGGGGGAGCCTCGCTGGAAAATCAACACCGGTTGCATAGTGTACCTTTAATAATTACAACCCTTTTAAACATTTAACGCTCAATTTCCTTCATCCAAATTGCAAAGCAAGAAAACCTCTTGTTGTGAATAATGTGAATAGTCCCACACATTCTCATCTTCATACTTTGGATCTTGTGCTGACATACGGCAAAGAATGTGAAGAAATAACAGTATTTCCTCACAACCCTGTCCTCTCTGATCACTTTTTAATAACCTTCAGGATTACGTTAACAGAGTTCTCCTCCCCCAAAAGAAGGTTTCACTTCAGCAGATCATTATCAAATAGTGCAGTTATAAATTTTAAAGAATCTGCTTCACTTTCTCTCTCCTCTGTGTCGCTGAGCGGTGCTGCAGAGTGCAAAAGCTTAGTTTACTCCCTTACAGGTTGATGATGATGTTGATGGGGTTGCTAGTTCTCTGCATACTGCCTTAGACAACGCAGCTCCTTTGAAAATGAAAACTGTTAAAAATAGAAAGCTTGCTCCTTGGTTTAATGCAGAGCTGCGTACTTTGAAGCAAAATGCTAGGAAACTGGAGAGAAAATATCGCTCCACAGGGCTGCGGGAGTCCTTCCTAGTCTGGAAAAATAGTTTACTGCTGTATAAGAGGACCCTTTGTAAAGCAAGAGCAGCATACTTCTCCTCATTAATAGAGGAGAATAAGAATCATCCTAATATCTTTTTAATCCAGTTGCCAAACCCACCCGGAGCCATAGCTCTGTTGAACCGTCCATTCCTCCTGCTCTTAGCAGCAATGATTTTATGGGATTCTTTATAAATAAGATTGATCTTACTAAAAATAAGATCATTAGCACTCCTCTATCTGTGATTGGTCTGTCTCTGGAGGGTGGGGCAGCATCTGGGGTAGTCATGGAATCTGAACCGGGTTTAGACTGCTTTGATCCAGTTGAACTTTCAGAGTTAGCAAAACTATTCTCTTCATCTAAGCCTTCAACTTGTATGTTAGATCCAGTTCCAACCGGGTTATTTAAGGAGGTATTCCCTTTGATCTCCTCCTCCATTTTAGATGTGATCAGAGATGGCAAAAGTACTCACTTTCCGTACTTGAGTAAAAGTACAGATACTTGTGTTAAAAAATACTCTGGTAAAAGTGGAAGTACTGATTAAACTTCTTTACTCAAGTAAAAGTAACAAAGTACAGGCTTGTAAATTTACTTAAAGTATAAAAGTAAAAGTAGAAACCACTTTTTTCATGCCGTTGCCTACATTTTAAATGGATGTCAGCCAATAGGACTAGATCTCCGTTGTGTTCATTTTCAGTCATCTCGTCGTCCATGCTACTATGCTAACGCCACCGCCACCAAGCTGCAATGATTTGCCGTGAATGAATACCGCCGAATCTGTCGATTCATCTTGTAGTGGTGCGTCAAATGCAACGTAGATTCCCATCCAATTAGATTGAATTTGGTATTTGTGAGATAACGGCTCGCCAGCTCCCGTCTCACGTCAGAGGAGGTGTAAGCAGATGACTTGCAAAAAGGTGGTAAGAACCAGCTGACAGAACCAGCTGACAACAAAATGCGAGTTCAAAAGCGTGTAGCGGTTTATTTACTGGTGCAACGGTGAAGAGAAAACCGGCCATTGCAGGCAATACAAAACACTGACAGCCTCACAGCAAGCTGACTTTAAATATAGTCTCTCTAAGCAGACCTTCAAAAGCAGTTTCTCCAACCAGTCTCTTCAAGCAGCCCTGCTAAGCCATTGTGAGTGTGCCCCTTAAATAGACCCACCAATAATCAGCCAATTGGGACAGCCCAAATAAACAGGAAGGCAAATCTCCAATAAAGCACAGTTAACATTGTAGAAAAATAAAAACAGACAATAGCATCATTCATACAAAAACATACATATTTATGAAATAATTTAACCATACTAACATTACCATTTCACCTACTTATTACCATGCAAACAATTATTACATACATTGAAATCCCACTTAATACCCCTGCCCCCTCTTTTCCAATGCCCTGGGACAATAGATAAGAGACTGGCTCCGATGCGGTACGTGTTTCCACACGGACCAGTATGCTGACGGACTAAGGGAAGATTTGACTGGGAAGTTTTATTGCCGACTACGGAATGTATATTAAAGCTGTCGCAGTGGGTACCTTCAGAGTTTGCTACGCTGGTGAGTAAGTAAAGTGTTGAATAAAAGGTGACGTTGTAATTTCGGAACTAGTGAGAATTACCGCCATGACGGCCGGTCTGTGGTGCATTCTGGGAAATGTAGTGAAGGATGTGACGCTGTGTGTGATAGACGGCGGTTATACTTTGGGAACAGAGGGGGAAAACGGCTCCGTTTTCACAGTATTGATGACGTGAAAAATAATAACGGTAACTCCATTGAAATGATTCAAAACTAAAGTAACGAGCCAATTTTTTTAAAATGTAAGGAGTAGAAAGTACAGATATTTGTGTAAAAATGTAAGGAGTAGAAGTAAAAAGTTGCCATAAAAATAAGTAGTAAAGTAAAGTAAAAATATCAGAAAAATCTACTTGAGTACAGTAACGAAGTATTTGTACTTAGTTACTTCCCATCTCTGGATGTGATTAATCTACATTATGCCAGTTCGATCACTTACACCAAAACTAAGTTTTTGAAGAGATTCAGTCTGGCTTTAGAGCTCATCATAGCACTGAAACAGCTCTGGTGAAAGTCACTAATGATATTCTCATGGCCTCAGATAATGGACTTGTATCTGTGCTCGTCCTGTTGGATCTTAGTGCTGCATTTGATACAGTTGACCATAATATTCTTTTAGAAAGACTTGAATATTTTGTTGGAATTAAAGGAACAACACTAGACTGGTTTAAATCTTATCTATCTGATCGAATTCAGTTTGTTCATGTTAATGATAGATCTTCAACATGCTCAAAGGTTACCTGTGGAGTACCACAGGGATCAGTACTAGGACCAATTCTCTTTACTATATATATGCTCCCAATCGGTAGAATTATTAGACGGCATGGGATTAATTTTCACTGTTAAATTAATGATACTCAGCTATATCTGTCTATAATCCAGATGAAGCTAACCCATTACATAGATTACAGGCATGTCTGAAGACATAAAAACCTGGATGACTTAACTTTCTCCTTCTGAATGCAGAAAAAACTGAAGTTTGGACCAGAGTCTTTGAAAAAGAAGCTAAATAGTCAGTCACTTCATTTGGATGGGATTAAACTGATTTCAGATAAAGTGACTAACTGGATGTGCTCTCTTCATCCTCTGACATGGGAGCTGGCTCGGAGCTCGTCTGCCTGGCTGTGTGTTTTCTGGACGGGGCCGCCTGTGGAGCTGGTTGACAGTTGCCTTTTGTATCTATGCTTCTTTTCCTATGTCTGCTTCTGTCTCCTTGAACCCCAGTCAGTCTCAGCAGATGGCTGCTGGCACTCAGCCTGGTTCTGCTGGAGTTCTTCCTCTCCACTGTCGCTACAAGCATGCTTAGTGTGAGGGATTGCTGAAGAGTTAATGAATCAATGCAATCAACTGGTTTTCCTTAGATAGAAAACTGAATCAATCTGACTAGATGATCTGGTGAACTGGAAAGAGCCTTGAGAAGACATGATGTGAATTTGTGTTATAGAAATAAACTTTAATTGAATTTAATTACTTACAGATGGATTTTGGAAATTTGGGGAAGTCCTTGAAAACAGAAAGCTTTAAAGGCAGTTCTGTTTCTTTCTCCGAAGAAGTCTTATCTTGCCCCTCATGTACTGCAGGCTCCAGAACTTCTGACTCAGAGGGCCCTGAGGACGCCTTTTGGAGGGCCTGTTAAAAGTTTATGGTTAATGTTTAGCCTTCTAAAAGGCCTCTGGAGGTTCCTCTAGACCAGGCATCCCTAACCCCGGTCCTTGAGGCCCGCTGTCCTGCAGGTTTTAGAGGTTTCCTTGCTCCAGCACAGCTGATTTTAATTTAAAGCTGATTAACAGGCTTTTGGTCTACTGCAATCATTATAATGAGCTGTGCTAAAGCAGGGAAACCTCTAAAACCTCCAGGACAGCGGGCCTTGAGGACCGAGGTAGGGGTACATCAGTGAATCTTTCTAAATGGCAGGCATTAAGTTCCTGCCATTTAGCTTACTCAGGTAAATCATTGAACATTATAAAAAAAATTAAATACCTCCTCCAATTTCTTTATAGTCATCTTTGCCTGTTTGGACCATCTGATTTTATCACGTAATTTCTTACGCAGGACAGAACAGTGCTTTTTCAGCTGCTGGTGTTTTAACAGAAGATCCTTGCAGGAGGTGCAGCAGGATAGATCCTCAGGTCCAAACTTTGATGTCGCCACATCAAGCTTTCCTTTCTTGCTATCCTTGGTCTCAATGTCAAGGCGTGACATCATCGGGGGGCTGGGTGTCCTCGCCCTCAGAGCTTTAAGACTCTTTATGGTGACGCGCCACTTCAAATCTTTGATGAGCCGATTGATCTTTTCCTGCCCCATCTCACGGTGGGCTGTTTCCACATGTTTATCCAGCCTCGACTGTGAATAATTGCAGCTCTTGACAGGGCAGGGCACGCATCTTATGTTTATCCTCCCACGAGCATACTGTAGCAATATCTGACGCTCCTCAAGATTTTTTATGCCATGCATTTTTAGCAAGTGTTTGCCCAGATAGACGTAAACACAGTCACATAATGGGCAGTGCACTACTGATGAAGATACCATCTTGCAAGATGAATCTGAAAGATAAGATAAGCTTTATTAATCTCACAGTGGAGGAAGTCAGTGGTCACACATCGGCTTAATGATTAAAAGGGGCCCAAAAATGAGGAAACGGTGTGTCCACATACATACAGGGTATCAAAATAAGGCATAAAAGTACAAAGTGTATCAAAAAATAAAAAATACAAAGGAAGGTTTAAGGTGACATATGTACATTCAGGGTGGCTCAGCATGTGCAGGAAAGCAGCCTGTAGCATTCCCCTGCAGAAGAAGAAGTTGTCACCACTAGCTGTGGCTGAACAGAGGCCGTTTTTCAATCAGTGTACTTGTGCGTTCTTGTGTCCTCGTGAAACGTCACCAGCCTCAGAATTAGTACTGTTCCAATTCCAAAGGACAGCAGACCGAGAACGGACAAAGTCCCCTGATGTTGTTTTGGCCCCGCCCTCTTTACCTAGCAAGCATCAGAGAAGACTTGTCCGTTCTCCGATTGACAGCTGTCCCAGCATGCACTGCGGCAGCAGCAGCTTTCAATGGAGCGCTCCATTGAAAGTCAAAAGTTCTCTTTTTTTTAGCTGTTCAATAAAAGTATGTTTTAAGATCATTTGAAGCGAGAACATTAGACTTCAAGCTGCACTATATGGAACATTTACCGATTTAATGCGTCATTAAAAAAAAAAATTTCCATAGTTGAGAGCAGCCAGGGCTAACGTTAGCCCGTCCGCAGCAGCCAGGGCTAACGTTAGCCCGTCCGCATTACCCAGGGCTAGCATTGGCCTGACCGCATTAGCCAGGGCTAGCGTTAGCCCGACCGCATTAGCCAGGGCTAGCGTTAGCCCGTCCGCAGCAGCCAGGGCTAGCGTTAGCCCGTCCGCAGCAGCCAGGGCTAGCGTTAGCCCGTCCGCAGCAGCCAGGGCTAGCGTTAGCCCGTCCGCAGCAGCCAGGGCTAGCGTTAGCCCGTCCGCAGCAGCCAGGGCTAACCGCAGCCCGTCTGCATTAGCCAGGGCTAGCGTTAGCCCGACCGCATTAGCCAGGGCTAACGTTAGCCCGACCGCATTAGCCAGGGCTAGCGTTAGCCCGTCCGCAGCAGCCAGGGCTAACCGCAGCCCGTCCACATTAGCCAGGGCTAGCGTTAGCCCGTCCGCAGCAGCCAGGGCTAACCGCAGCCCGTCCACATTAGCCAGGGCTAGCGTTAGCCCGTCCGCAGCAGCCAGGGCTAACCGCAGCCCGTCTGCATTAGCCCGACCGCATTAGCCAGGGCTAGCGTTAGCCCGTCCGCAGCAGCCAGGGCTAACCGCAGCCCGTCTGCATTACCCAGGGCTAACGTTAGCCCGACCTCATTAGCCAGGGCTAGCGTTAGCCCGTCCGCATTAGCCAGGGCTAACCGCAGCCCTTCTGCATTAGCCAGGGCTAACCGCAGCCCGTCTGCATTAGCCAGGGCTAGCGTTAGCCCGACCGCATTAGCCAGGGCTAACGTTAGCCCGACCGCATTAGCCAGGGCTAGCGTTAGCCCGTCCGCAGCAGCCAGGGCTAACCGCAGCCCGTCCACATTAGCCAGGGCTAGCGTTAGCCCGTCCGCAGCAGCCAGGGCTAACCGCAGCCCGTCCACATTAGCCAGGGCTAGCGTTAGCCCGTCCGCAGCAGCCAGGGCTAACCGCAGCCCGTCTGCATTAGCCCGACCGCATTAGCCAGGGCTAGCGTTAGCCCGTCCGCAGCAGCCAGGGCTAACCGCAGCCCGTCTGCATTACCCAGGGCTAACGTTAGCCCGACCTCATTAGCCAGGGCTAGCGTTAGCCCGTCCGCATTAGCCAGGGCTAACCGCAGCCCTTCTGCATTAGCCAGGGCTAACGTTAGCCCGACCGCATTAGCCAGGGCTAACGTTAGCCCGACTGCATTAGCCAGGGCTAGCGTTAGCCCGTCCGCAGCAGCCAGGGCTAACCGCAGCCCGTCCACATTAGCCAGGGCTAACCTTAGCCTGTCTGCAGCAGCCAGGGCTAACCGCAGCCCGTCCGCATTAGCCAGGGCTAGCGTTAGCCCGTCCGCAGCAGCCAGGGCTAACTGCAGCCCGTCCGCAGCAGCCAGGGCTAACGTTAGCCCGACCGCATTAGCCAGGGCTAGCGTTAGCCCGTCCGCAGCAGCCAGGGCTAACCGCAGCCCGTCCACATTAGCCAGGGCTAGCGTTAGCCCGTCCGCAGCAGCCAGGGCTAACCGCAGCCCGTCCACATTAGCCAGGGCTAGCGTTAGCCCGTCCGCAGCAGCCAGGGCTAACCACAGCCCGTCTGCATTAGCCCGACCGCATTAGCCAGGGCTAGCGTTAGCCCGTCCGCAGCAGCCAGGGCTAACCGCAGCCCGTCTGCATTACCCAGGGCTAACGTTAGCCCGACCTCATTAGCCAGGGCTAGCGTTAGCCCGTCCGCATTAGCCAGGGCTAACCGCAGCCCTTCTGCATTAGCCAGGGCTAACGTTAGCCCGAACTGGCAAACATCTTTTATGATGACAACTAACTCCTGAAACTTTGGATGTGATTGACCTTTCTTTCTTAAAGTTATAAGGGGGGAACAAATTATAGCAGGCCACCTGCTATAATCTGTTCCCCCCTGTCTAAATCAGGCAAAAAAGGCCCCAGCTTTTTCATTTTTGGCTTATAAGCATCTTTTATGATGCCAAAATTGAAAAAGCTGGGACCTTTTTTGCCTGATTTAGACAGGGGGAACAGATTACAGCAGGTTTTATTTAATCCCATATTGCCAGTTCTGGCAGTAGGGTGGCCAGATGTCCGGCTTTAGGGCGGACAGTCCGGATTTTCATTGCACTGTCCGGCGTCCGGCGCTGCATCCAGCCGGACGTGTATTTGTCCTCCTTTACCCCACATACTCCGTCAGCGCTCCGCCCCGCTCACGTACGGAGTACTTGTCTGTCATGTAAATCAATGAGAACTGTTCCACATCCTCCGCTCGTCACCGCCCACGTACGTCTTCTCCGTCCTTCACCGTCAAAATACGGAGCTGAGCTATTTTTTGCTCCCCTCCGGTCCGTCCAGATCAAGACTGGCTATTGCAATCGCACCAAACAGAAAAAAGAATGTAGAGAAGACCCGGTTTGTCAAATTAAATTATAGTAAAAACAGATCGGTATCTAGAAATTAGAGCATAGTTTGAATATATTCCCAAAAACTAAGAGCAATTAATTAAATAATTGGATGCAGACTATTGGTGCTTCAACAGACCAGGAAGAAGTTGTGAGATTCTAGAGTGAATCTCACAACTTTAAAAGAAAATTCTTATTGCAGGAATGGATGAAGAGATGATGAGTTTGGAAGCAGAGAATAAACAGAGTTCATACAAACTATGTATGATCCTAGTTATCCCTGTTACAAAAATCCACAACAGAAAGAAAATATTTGGGCAGAAACTGAACATCTGCTGGATGATGATGGGGATTTTTTTAATATGTCAGATTAAATTAAGAGTTCACAGGTTTTATACAGGAATGAGGAACTCTAATTTAATGCTCTTTTAATGCTATTAGAAATAATTTTAATGCCATCAACAAGTATCATGTACACAAGTTATTAGTTTACATGAAATAAGGAGCTGTAAGCACAGTTCCATGACTCAAGTTTATATATATATATATAGATATAGATATGGATAGATAGAGAACATGGTGAAATCATCTTTACTCTCGACAGGCTGCAGCCATGTCATGAATTCCTCTTTTCCAGCCACTTTTTGCAGTTTGCATCGTCCTATTCTCTAGCTCTTTCTCGAGCTTCTTTTCCAAACAACTGATTTATGATCAATTGCAGCAGTTCTGCGCAAATTAATCGTGTTAAAAAATGGTCACTTTTTAAACACCACAATGTATTAAATAAATACAAATGCTGGGAACCAATTCTTTTTTACATTTCTTTAATATTTTGTTCTATTCAGCTACTCAAGCATCCTCTTTAAACTACTAAGAATTGTGCTATAAATGTGACTTTACCCGATTCTTATGTACACCTTAGTAATTTATTGATATGCCGCACAATGTCCTCCTTTTTGGTGCTATAGAAATGGCCACCCTATCTGGCAGTATGGGATGAAATAAAATGGCTGATGTTAGAAGACAAACTGTTTATTAAGGATAGTACAATATAGATAAATTGTACGTTACTATAAACACAAATATAGATTTAAGTACTAAATTTCAACCAGGAAAAAATTATTTTCCTTCTGCATATAGTCTTTAATGATTACACGCGCACTCCATTTTCTATTTCATTTTTATTACAAGTATACGGTTTACAACAGTTTTCAATGGGATGAGAACATTTGGACACTGTGAAACAATGAGAGATTTTTTTTAATGAACGTGTGGAAAAGAACAAGGATCAGTTTGCTTTCAGAGGGAGGAGTAGACACTGCTGTCAGCGACCAGCTTTCAAGCAAACGTTTGTGTTTTATTAATAGTTTTAAATCAATATCACTGGCGATATTCTGCTGTAACATGTGAAGTAAAGAATAAAACAGTAAAGCTCAACTTTCATACACGTAAAACCTTTCAAATTTCAAGTGCTGCACGTTGGAATTGAGGCGGAGTTAAGTCGGGTTGTTCTTCCTACTCCGTGCGCGCTCCCGACGAGGGGATACAAATTTTCGCAGGGATAACTACCTTGGCACGACACCGGTACGGTAATTTCACATTCTGCTTACTTTTTTCCAGATAGTCAGAGAAACAAACTCAATCCTTTAGTCCTTCGTTTAGCTATGCTGCGGTTGTTTACACTACGCCTTTTCCACCAAACAGGGCGTCTTAGCAACAAATGTCACGTGACTGGCGGAGACCGATAATCATGTCACTGTTTAACATCCAGTTTAATCAGCAGCTGTTTGTTTTTTGTTTTGTTTTTATAAAATAAATAAATGACGTCCTTCTTAAACTGCTTTGGGTTGTTTTTTTTTTTTATGCCAAGAGAAAAACATTTCTAGTATACTACATGCTATCACACAAACAATTTAGAGAATTTGGAAAACATTTCCCAAAGATATGGAATTGTTTTGTGTGATAGCATGTAGTAAACTAGAAATGTCTTTAATCCAGTAATCTGTGATATTTTACATTTGAACGGGATTAACCAGAAAGTCTACATTCTCATCTTCACCCTCAGGGCCCCTGATCTCCTAGAATCCTAGATCCGCCCCTGGTACCAGGTGAGGAACAATAGTGAGGGAGGACTCCATGCTGAACTCACTTTTTGCACACTAGTGATTGCACAGGTTAATAGAGTTATAGTGCAGCATTGTATAGTCTAATAGCAGCAGGTAAAAAGAGTTTAACGCTCAGGTTAAAGTTAAATCAGATTCATCCAATTTACCGTTCACTCGGTCCAAAACACGCTAGCTCCGCTCCACGTGCGTCTCACTAAACAGGAAGTGAAGAACTTACCGGAAGTGACGCCAGAGGGACAAAGGGAGAGAAAGAGAGTCCAGAGTCGCGGGTTCAAACCCAGCAGAGACCAAGTTATGTTTGAGTGAAAAATGTTCCCAAAATAAAAGAAATTTCAAGAAAGTAACTTGCGCTATCTTAATGAAACAATTGTAAAAGTTATTTTGTGGAAACGGCCTCGTATTTTTTTATTACAACACAGCACATTTTATTTGCTAAAACAAAACTATCCCATTAAAGTTTTATTGATTCAAATATTTTTTAAATTTTCTGTTTCAGTGATATAGCAAAATGTATTTTTCCAATCGTAATGTACAGTAACTAGATACAGTACACTTTAATATTGTAAAGATTCTGTGTTTGTTTCTATTGGGGTCCATATAGTCATTTGTTCCTTTAATGCGTTTCCTTTGCCTGACTCTGCTAACTCCTGCTCTCTTGTGATAGGCCTGTTATATCACCTGGGGGGGGCTTCCGCTGGGATGGCGGACTCTAATGCTAGATGACTTCGTTTCGAGTAAATTCTGGATGCTACCCATTCAGGACACTTTGGACTACATTGGACGAGCAGTATGGAGGAATATTGACACGTTTTTTGTGGACTTTTATGGACCTTTCTGCCTCGGGCGCCATAGACCTCCATTATTTGAATGTCAGCAGACAGCAAGAAGCCTCCCAGATCTCCAGATGCATTTGAGATATCAAAAAAGTACTCCAGAGTGTTGTTCAGCATGGGGGTGAGTAGAAAATGAAGGCTAATCATGTTTTGGGTGTACTATTCCTTTAAGTAGCATGAAACAGCCCCACTATACATATGTGAAAAAACTTGCAATGCAGTAGATTCAAAGTATTGACAATTGAAGTAAAATTATTTTTTAATTTTGTAGAAATGGAAGAAAATGAGGAGCTTGAGAGGGCAATGTGCAGCATCTCTTCAGCCGGATACGGATATGCGTGAGTACTATACATGAGGCCTTAGAGGAGACTTTGGTGTCTTATGTCATCAACATAGTTTGGATTTGTTTTTCAGCTTTGTCTACACCAGGGGTCTGCAACCTGCGGCTCCGGAGCCACATATGGCTCTTTGGACCCTCTCCAGCGGCTCTTAATAGTGGCTAAAATGTATATAAAGAGCTAAATAATTTACTATAATATATACCGGTATCAATAGCTTTAGCGTTTTTTATAAGATGGAAAAGAATGAGATTAAAAGAACCAGAAATATGTTTTAAGAGACATTTTTCTATGAATTAGCTTGGAAATTATATGTTTTACCATTAAGAATATATGAATTGATTGTTTGAGATGGCAACAACTAATTTCCTATAACACATAAAAAAAAAAAGGTTTTCTAGAAAAGTTTTGCGGCTCTAAACAACTTTTATTTGGTCGTACTCTGGGCAAAATGGCTCTTTTGATATGAAAGGTTGCAGACCCCTGGTCTACACCAACACCAGTTCCAGAGTTGCCGCAGTCCTCAGGTACAGAGAGATGTTCACTGGCGTCATGCCCTAGGGGACTGTTTTTGGACATGTTCTTGTCCTTTGCATGAGTTCAGTTGTTCCTGACCACGTTCCGGTCACCTTTTGTTTTTTTTCCTTTCATGTATGTTCTGTCTAAAGTCCAAGTAACTTTATTTGATATCATGAGGGTAAGTGACATTCTTATTATGTATTGTTGTGAATATGAGTGAAGTGTTGAGTGTGTTTGTATTTTAACATTTGATATTAACGCTTCCCCTGCTCAACTGATTATTATTCTGCATGTGTACTAAAGTTCGAGATGTTAAATGATCTCAAAATACAACATAACAACTCAGCAAAAGTTACAGAAAGAAAAGTTACAGACAAGTGCTGTTTGTGCATTTTACCAACATATGTTTAAACTGTAAATTATTCAACTAATTTAATTGAATTGGAGTTTCTTCTGTACAGCTGCTCAGTTCTTGTCCACTGTCCTGGGGGCATCAGGAGATGGTACACCCAAAAACAGTTTACAATAACTCAGAGTCCATTATATAACTATAACTCACCCTTTTAATTGAAATATTCTACACCTCTCTAAAGCTGTTCCCACTGCAGTGCCTCAGAAGTCCCCTGTGCCTCTTCCACAAGAGCTCAACATTCTGCTTCCTGAGGCCAGAGACACTTTATCTCCAGGTCTGCACTGATTAATCCAGGTGTGTATGACCTAAGTAACTGGCCAGACAGACCTGGATTAATCAGTTCGTCCAGTAATGAAAGACAGGAAACAAAGGAGCTGCCTTAAATTCAGGAAGTAGTGGAGCTGTGCATAGAGCCCATTGGTGTCTGGACCTCCGGAGAAGCATTTGTCCAAAGACCCTGGAGAGGACACAGAAAAGACAGTTAAGTCACTTTCTCAGCACCACAACACTTCTTTTGCACTCACTTCTAACAAACTTTACACTAACATTTGTTGAAGTTTCTAAACAGTAACCCTTGCTTGCTCTAAACATCAATTCTCTTTTCCACAGACAACCACCCCAATTGCTAATGGAGAGCAGCTGTGGAGAGCCTGGAACAAAAGGCTACATGCTAACTATTAAAATACCCAATAAATATTCAATAAATATTTTAAAAAACTTGTGTGCAAACTGTTCTTTATGTGCAAATCTATGCTTAACCTCTTTTACACTAGGCCTGTTTTCGAGAAATATGCTTGAAAATAACATGCCCAAAATGAATTGAATATATCTCAAGAACTACAGAGTTATTTTAATTGTTTTGTTCGAAAACCTGGGCTGCATCCTCCAAGGACGCGGTCTACCTAGACTGGATCCTTCGAAGTCCTTGAAAATAAGGAGACCGGAAGAGTTTAGGCTGTGAATTCGAACAGGTCCTCCCTTCAGCGGGTTTTTACCGCAGTAAGCTCTGTTGCTTAGCAACCGTAAACGTTGACACACAAAGCAGGAAAAGAATGAATACAGAAGTTTTCAAAACTGTTTATTTATTTCTTTTTTATTGTAAAGTGAACAAAGACTACATTAACAAGAATCCAGAGTGGAATAAAGGTTCCAACCAGCGGGAGCAGGAACAAATAAAATCAAATGTAATAATAGAAACCTTAGTCAGTTAAATAACCTGCTGCTGTCATTCTGCACATCTCTGATGTTGCTGCTATTTTCAAATATCCATTACTGTAAAAATGTCCATAGCTGCATATTGGTTATTTATTCTCCAGTTTTATATTGTTAAAGCACTTTACAGTATTGTATTGTTTTTTTTTGTGTGTGTTTTGTTTTAACTCTTCCCTATTATGTTATTCTTATACATTTGTGTGACCATTTTCAATAATCTTTCTGCTGCTGTAAATTTGCCCATTGTGGGACAATAAAGGGATTTTCTATTCTATAAAAAGGGTAGAAAGATATAAGTAAATCTAAACAATGTATGTATAAAAAATATATCTGAAAAAATCTCTAATATTCAACAACAAAAAATACGTAGTTAAAGGAATAGTACACCCAAAACATGATTAGCCTTCATTTTCTACTCACCCCCATGCTGAACAACACCCTGGAGTACTTTTTTGATATCTCAAATGCATCTGGAGATCTGGGAGGCTTCTTGCTGTCTGCTGACATTCAAATAATGGAGGTCCATGGCGCCCGAGACAGAAAGGTCCATAAAAGTCCACAAAAACGTGTCAATATTCCTCCATACTGCTCGTCCAATGTAATCCAAGTGTCCTGAGTGGGTAGCATCCAGAATTTACTCGAAACGAAGTCATTTAGAATGTTTTTAGAGCATAAACAGTAGTGTATAGGATTTCCTAATAGCGCCCCCATGCGCGCTCACGACGCTACGGAAGCCGGCAGACCAAACCGGAAGAAAGTGCGCATTCAGCGTCTGCTCTGCCGATAATGCAAGCGTAGAAGAAGAAATGTGCTGTTTACCTGTGCAAAGAAAGAAACAACGAAAGAAAAATGTCTGAGGACTTCAGTGTTGAGGAAGAGCATGAGTTCTTTGCCGAGCTGAATGCGCTGGTTTGGTCTGCCGGCTTCCGTAGAATCGCGAGCGCGCATGGGGGCGCTATTAGGAAATCCTATACACTACTGTTTATGCTCTAAAAACATTCTAAATGACTTCGTTTCGAGTAAATTCTGGATGCTACCCACTCAGGACACTTGGATTACATTGGACGAGCAGTATGGAGGAATATTGACATGTTTTTGTGGACTTTTATGGACCTTTCTGTCTCGGGCGCCATGGACCTCCATTATTTGAATGTCAGCAGACAGCAAGAAGCCTCCCAGATCTCCAGATGCATTTGAGATATCAAAAAAGTACTCCAGAGTGTTGTTCAGCATGGAGGTGAGTAGAAAATGAAGGCTAATCATGTTTTGGGTGTACTATTCCTTTAAGCATATTGTGCAAAACAGCAATGAAAAGATAAAACTCCTATCAGATTTATAGTCCCCACTCTGCAGATATATTAGAATCTCTTCTTAAATTACAGCCAAACCCATTTACACAGTAACAGATAAAAACCTTTATATAAATCAAACATTACCGCCACATATCTGACTCAGTAACCATTAAAACAACCATTTTTCATTAATCTCAGACGGAACTATTAAATGACTTGTATTATATTAAACTGAACTTCCAATTTTCACCACTGTTCGGCGCCAAGTAACCTTTCCTCTGATCACAGCTTGCTTGGTCTCGCAATGAATCCTGGGATATCCAAGGATATCGAGGATACATCAGACCCGTCCTGCAAATTGGGCAAAAAGAAGGACGCATTTTAAGGCCGCATAACGAGGACTCTTGGAATCCGACCAGACCTCGGCGCCGCGCTATGACGTAATCGGCCTTCGAATCCAGTCTTCTAAGGACGCGTCCTAGGTTTTCGAACAGAGCAAATATGTTACAGGTCTAAAAACCATCTTGGGGTAAGTGCTGAGGACCCAAATTTGGGTCCTCATGTTATGAAAAGGTTAAAGTGCAATGCTAAATAAAGTGTCCTAGTGCTAAGCAAGCTGATTTTTAATAAAGTGCAAAGGTCCCTTTAAAGTGCTACAAGCTATTTACATAAAGCTATATACATAAAAATAGTCCAAGTAATGAAGACCTCTTCATTACACCCCTGATTGATAAATCCATTAATCAGATTTTATTTCAAACATGCTTCACAACTGTTGTGCCATTCAGTAGATTATGAATATATTAAATGAGTAGAACTGGAAGTTAGGTAATGGACAGGTCAGTCTAATCAAGGATAAAACTAGTTTTTTTTTATTATCAGCTGAATAATTATAACTGTAATTTGCTTCCTGACCAGGGTTTTAGCCCCTTTTCTAAAAGGTTAGACTCCTGAATCCGGCAGCTAAAAATCTAGTTGTCTTTCACCAATTTAGTAATTTAGGCTATGGCCCTTAGTAAACTAATTTCTCAAGAATTTAAGATAAGAAATGAAGATTTGATATATCTCTATAATTTCAGTTTCTTAAGCGAAGGTTTAATTACAGCAACCTTAAAAGCCTTTGGTACATATCCCTGTAACAGGGATAGATAAATCCCATCTGAAATGGAGGAGATCAAAGGAAATAGCTCCTTAAATAACCTGGTTGGAACTGGATCTAACATACAAGCTGCAGGCTTAGATGAAGACAATAGTTTTGCTAACTCTTAACGTTTAACTGGATCAAAGCAGTCTAAACCCGGTTCAGATTCTATGGCTAGCTCAGATGCTGCCTCACCTTCCAGAGACAAACAATAATAGTTAGAGGAGTGCTAATGATTGTATTTTTAATACCGGTAAATCCTATTTATGAATGATCCTCATCATCAACCTTAGATGCAAAAAATATTGTTTTAAAACATATTTTAAAACTAATGCAACACAAATTGTACATTGGAATTGTTTGAAAATGTTATTGTTTCTTACAGTAGTTAAGCTATTCAGTACAAACAATGAAGTGCTTCAAAGAGTGCTTGATTTCAATTTTAGATTGAGACAATAGGCCATTCAGCCACAGATGTAAACAAGTTACTTTCTCAAAACCAATTGCAAGATTAGTGTTTGTATTCACTTCTCAACAATACTACTATTAAACAATTATTTGTTTTCTCTTCATTAATTCCTGAACTTTCGCAAAAGATATGCGCACAACACAGGTTTTTTAGCTCGACACAGGCGCCGATGCATTTTGCTTGACCCATCACTAATAAACAAAGGACAACTTTTACACACATCATACAATAGAAGAAAGGGGAAAACAAACATCCCCACAACTGTGCATATCACACACATATGAATGAATCACTCCCAACACCTCTCAGTGTAATATTTCTTAGAGATGTTGCTATAGTGGACTAGTCTGGAGAATGTGTTGAATAGAGAGAGGTAAACTATCCTTTAGGGCAGTGGCGGTTCTAGACCAAATGTACCAGGGGGGCAGGAGGGGGCCAGCGTGTTTTCATGGGGGCACAGAAAAGCATGAAATAAAAAAACAGGCCAAGGGATTCAAACAAATTAAGAGAGCTGCATAAAGTGAAATTTCTATTCAATTAGGTTTCATTAAAATTATAAATGTCTTAATAGGTCAATATACATTCAGAATTTAGGAATTTTACTTTTTTTTTACTTAATTTAAGTTGAAATTACAGTTTTCTATAAAATCTGAATTACAATTTAAGAAAAACTGTTAAAATTAGCTGTAAAAAGTAGAGTATTTTATTTTTTTTTTTACATTCGTTTTGGAAAAATACATTTAGCAGATGAAAACTGGGATCCTATCTCAATACCACTTATGCTATGTTTTTAAACAGTTAATAAAACAGAATTTGTAAAGAAAAAAATAAAATACATCCAAAGGATCTAACAGTAACCATGTCTGTTTCAGCGCATATCATCATTAGAATTTCTTTGAGTATTATGTCTTTAGTACAGGAGCCAGGGCTTGATCTACAGGGGCCCTGGCCCCCGTTGGCCCCTGTCTAGAACTGCCCATGCTTTAGGGGAGTGGTTCCCAACCGTGTTCCTCACAGACCCCTGTCCTACATGTTTAGGCTGTTTTTCACCAGAAAAGAAGAGATTATTAAGAGGCTTCTGCAGCACTTACAGCAATTGCAGAAGAAGAGCCCTAATATTAATGCAGTGTGCTGGAACAGATAAATAT